TATAAAAGCGATGGACTGAGTGAACAATCACTTGTTTGGCAACCGATAGGAATTCCTTTAAGACTAAGAGGTCGGCCTAAGAAATCACATCATTAATATTAATTAAGACTATTATCCTAAATTTTTGTACATTTTGTTGCATTTGTTATATGTTTAATAAAGTCATTTATTCATGTCTTCCAATGATCTTTTAATTAGTGATAAATAATATATTCAGTACTTATACTACTAATTATTAATACTAAAATATTTATATACTGTATTATATATTATATTTATGATGAATAATATTTTTATATTATTTTATTTAGTAACATTTAGCTGAATATATAAACTGTTATTATTTTCTTATTAACTATTATTTAATAATTATTATCAATGTCACATTTGCAGCACATTTTCAATATGGTCTTTAATATTTAATTATTGAAAAGTGTAATTTTTGTTAATTATGAGATCAACAAACCAATTACTGCATATTTTTTTGGAGTTCAATGATACATTATATTATCTATATATTAATATATACTAAATTATTATATTATTAACTAAAATGAAGCTAGGTAAAATATTTAATATATAAAACTACATAGGTTATAAGTAATAAGCTGCGCAAACATAATTCAAAATATCAATAATTTCTAGGATAAAAATATTAAAAATATATATATTATTAAAAGTACATCTCATCAGTATTTAGTAAAAAAGCATCAAGGTATATATTTGAAATAAATCTGGACTCAAGTTTTAAAACATAGTTAAATTTATTTTGAATAAGTTTTATAATTCAAATAATGTTTATTAGAAATAAATTAATAGTATTTATATTAATAATTCCATTACTGGAGCACTCATGCGGTGATAATCTTCATCAAAATGACATCTTCACAAACGAGACAACAATTTTTGAATCAATTCCACAGTCCAGACATATATTGATTGATGACATCGGTTGGAAACCGGGGACCAATCACACCGCAGACACTACTTCAAGCAATGAGACCGAAAAATTGGTTATGAATACAACGGATTCGATGTCTAAATGGTTTGGTTTTGACGACGAAGAGTTGGATGACAATGAAATGGCTATTCCACACATCTCTGACTCAGAGCATCTACTGGTGCCCAACAATCATGCGCTCAACAATGAGGTGTTGAACCCAATCAACACAATGATTGGCCAAACGCCAGATATTCACATTAATTCAATCAATGGTTTAGATATTGACGTCGACACCAACGATGACTTTTCACATCAGGCAATACCTCATCTCAATAATCTTGAATTGAATAATGGTTTTGAAAATCAATTAAATAATTGGAGTCCTCAATCATCTGTAAATCAGGAATGGGCTAAAAGGCCAAACAATGAACAACTATCTAATGGTGTCAATACATTCAATGAGATTGAGTCCCCACCCACACCATCAGTCAATGGCATTGCTGATCAACTGCTTGATTATCCTAATAGTAATATAAATCAAATGCAAAACCAAACACTTCAAAATGGCAATAATAACAATGGTGTCATTCATAGACCATATCCATCAAAACCATTAAACAATCATAATAGACGTCCGAACCGACCCATCGATAATAATAATAATAAGCCCTCTTATGACCAAACAAACCAATTTGATGATTTAGATATACAGCTAATACCAATACACAATATTCAATCAGTTAATAATGAATTGAAAGAACCAGAGAAACCAATTCGTAAGCCGTTTCCCAATCATAATCCTAAACCACAACGAAAACCAACCGTTAATAAACCGATTCGTAAACCACCGACAGTTAAACCAACATTAGTGCCAATACTATCAGAGATCGGAGAATTGCCGCACACTATTAGTTTGGATTTATTGCCAAACATTGATGTTATTTCAAATAACCAATTGCTTACATTGCCATCAATTATTGATATTCATGAAATACCTGACTCACCAACACTACCAATTGAATTACAAACTGATGAACCAATTGTAACTGAAGCACCAAAAGTACCTAAAATAACGGTAAAACCAGTTCGTCGACCCAGGCCTATTATTCATAGAGAACCCATATATCCCAATAAACCATATAATAGTAGACCATTTCCTAGTCTTCCTCAATCCACACCAAATGAGTCGACAGTAAATCCTTTATTAGTAAACCCTTTTGAAGTTATTAAACCTATGACCACAACAACAAACAAACCGTTATTTACGATAATTTCATCCACCAAAGGAACAACAGTCAATCAAATAGCTATTAATGGATCCACTATTTCACAAACAATAAAAACTGTTAGTAAAGTGGAAAGTCCTCTTACAACTGTTACCAAAACATTGCCAATACAAACCTCCACTGACAGACCAAAACCAACAAAAGAGTGGATTCCCATTGAATTTACATTAATGTCTGACGAGACAACTACACAATTAACAACAAAAGCAATGTCTCAAACATCGACAACAAAATCAACGCCTAAGACATCAACAACAAAAGGAAAGGCTAAGACATCGATAATAACAACAACGTCTAAGACATCGACAGTAAGAGCAACACCTAAAGCATTGTCAACAGTAAAAACATTGCCAACAAAAACAAAAGTTGTTAACAAACCCACAATTAATGGCAACAAAAGTACTTCAAAAACATCGATAACATCTAATTCGACAAATAAGCAAAAACTTGAGTCAATCACTCAAAAGGTTATGACAAAGACATCACCAAAAATAGTTAGCACTACTATTACACCTAAGAGTACACCAATAAAAAGTACCGCAAGTAATACAATAAAACTGACAAAACCATCGCTAACTTCAACTACACTCAAGACAAATGTTACTAAATCTACATCAAAATCAACGACAGATACCAAATCTTCATTAAAAACTGTTACCAGTCCTATGAGGTCACCACAGAACAGATCAACCGACACAACAACAAAGTCTAAATTAACTTCGCTATCAACGACTAATATCAGTGCGATTACAACACCAAAAAGTTTGGTCAATAAGACATCATTCAATATTCTACTATCAAATCAAAGACAAAGTGTAACGACTACACCAATAATGTCAACAATGACAACAACTACTGCCAAGACTTCAAAAACAAAATCAAAGAGTCAAAGTATAACAACAACATTGCCACCAAAGATAACGTCATCCAAGAGCACCAAAGCAACAGACATTACACACCTGACGACACAATTAAAATTAATGACAACCAAACCAATTACAAAACAAACTTCAAAGAAAAATATACCAACAAGTAGTTCAACAAAATATACAAAAACTGCAAAATTTAATGACATTATTAAGACAACATCAAAAATGTCAACAATGAAGACAACATCACCAAAAACAACAACAATAAATATTTCTAAAGTAGAAACAAATGAAACCAAATCTATAAGACCAACAGCGGTAACAAAAGCAAAGGTAACTAAATCTGAAAGCAGTACAACATCTCTGCCAAAAACAACTTCACAGCAATCATTGACCACAAAAATTACAAAAATTGAAAGTATGTTATTATTGCCGAACCGTACAACTGTTAGACCCGACTTACATAAACATCCGGATGTCCGTCCTGTCGTCCGTCCTGTAATCCGTCCTGTAATCAGTGCTGCTATGCATCGACCGGCTAAAGCAACAACACGTAAAATATCTGAAATCAATAGAAATTCAACACCTTCTCCATCGACAACCACTTCATCAAAAGTGATGACAGAAAAAACTAATAAAATAAATAGCAAAACAACTGCTCAATTAAATGCGACCACCATTTCACCGAAAATCGGTACAACAAAAGTCAAAGAAATGCCAAAAACTACTTTAAAACAAATAGTAACAAAAACATCAAATGATACCATCAGTAATACCAAAACTACGACAAAATCATTTTCACTTAAGTCTACAGTTAAATCTGTGAAACCAGTGATCAGTAACGTGACGACAGCCAAACAATCATTAAAAACAAATACAACGAAATCACCGAAAACCATAAGCAATGTCTCATCGACTCAAAAATCTTCACAGAAAACAATAAGTCCATCAATCAAATCGACAATCAATGTTATGAAGACCACAACAAAATTACCATCAAATACAAGACAAACAGTAAATCCATTAAAAAATATAACAACTGAAAAAACAAAACAATCGTCAGTTAAGACAAGTTTACAGAAAACAACAAAAATGCTAAACAATACAACAACAACACCAACAACTTCAACGACAAAGACAACAATGACTAGTCATCCAAAAACAACAATAAAAATAACGGGAAATATAAGAGAAAACCAAAAGATAACAAAAACTACAACATCTAAGCCGTCTATCAAAACTAGTTCATCAAAACCGGTAAAATTGGCGACAAATGTATCGCTAACACAGATAACATATAACACATCATTCACTTTGAAACCAATTACAAGTAAACAGAAAGTAATGTCTGTAACGAATTCAACTGTAAGAACAACTGTTACGCCAAAAGTATTCATTTCCAAGAGTACGGCTAAGTCATCAGTTAAGACTAATTCAACAAAAACTGCAATTAATGCAATGACAACAACAAAAACAATTTTTAATACGACATCTAAAGATATTAAAATCATATCAACACAAACCACATTACCAAAAGCGATGACATCTATTAAGGTAACAACAATGAGACCAATGATTTCACCAACGACTTCACCAACGACTTCACCAACGACTTCACCAACGACTTCACCAACGACTTCACCAACGACTTCACCAACGACTTCACCAACGACTWCACCAACGACTTCACCAACGACTTCACCAACGACTTCACCAACGACTTCACCAACGACTTCACCAACGACTTCACCAACGACTTCACCAACGACTTCTGCAATGACAATAACAAAACAAAAAATTAAGACAACGACAAAAATAACAAATAAACCAAAATTAATTACGACTACTACTAAACCAAAACTAAAATCAGTAACTGTATCACAAAGTACTCGCTTAACGTCAATGGTTCCCACATTTGCCACAATTATTCAAACAAATGTCTTGAAAAATGATTCTTTTATTAATAACATATCAGAGAGTATTAAGAGTACACTAAATAAAACTGAAGTTAAAGAAGAAGGAAAGTCAACGACTGAAGCAATGGTCTTGTCTTCCAATTTACCGATTCAGACAATAAATAATCAAAAAACAACAAAAATTACTAACACTATAACTGAAACTGATTTACCGAAAGAAGTGGTAACTGAAGAAGTAATGACAACAAATAGTGAAATGCCAACAGAAAAGGCAACTGAAGAAAAAATAACAATCAAGAATCAAGAGATATTTACAAGTAGTAAAGTTCCGACAGAAGTTGTAACTGAAGAACTGACAACAAGTAGTGAATTGGAGACAGAAGTGGTAACTGAAGAAGAAATAGCAATCAGTGAAATGCCGACAGAAGTTGTAACTGAAGAAGAAATAACAAGCAGTGAAATGCCTATAGAAGTTGTAAATCAAGAGATATTTACAAGCAGTGAAATCCCGACAGTAGTTGTAACTGAAGAAGAACTGACAACAAGTAGTGAATTGACGACAGATTTGGTAACTGAAGAAGAATTGACGACAAGTAGTGAGTTGGCGACTGAAGTGGTAACTGAAGAAGAAATAACAAGCAGTGAAATGCCAACAGAAGTGGTAACTGAAGAAGAACTGACAACAAGTAGTGAATTGGCGACAGATTTGGTAACTGAAGAAGAAATAGCAATCAGTGAAATGCCAACAGAAGTGGTAACTGAAGAAGAAATAACAAGTAGTGAAATGCCAACAGAAGTGGTAACTGAAGAAGAAATGACAAGCAGTAAAATGCCAACAGAAGTAGTAACTGAAGAAGAAATAACAAACAGTGAAATGCCAACAGAAGTAGTAACTGAAGAAGAAATAACAAGTAGTGAAATGCCAACAGAAGTGGTAACTGAAGAAGAAATAACAACAAGCAGTGAATTGCCGACAATATTAGTCACTGACAAAGAAATAACAATCAGTGAAATGCTGACAGAAGTGGTGACTAAAGAAGAAATAAAAACAAGCAGTAAATTGCCGACAGGAGTGGAAGCTGAAGAAGAACTGACTACAAGTACTGAATTACCAAAAGAATTAGTTAATGAAGAAGAGCTGACAATAAGCAGTAAAATGCCGACAGAAGTGGTAACAGAAGAGATTATTTCAAGCAGTAAAATGACAACAGAAAACAAAATACCAGCAGATTTTGTTCCTGAAGACGAACTCATAACCAGTAGTGAACTGCCAATTGAATCTGTAAATGAAAGTGAAGTTATAAATGAAGAGACAATAAATACAAGCAGTGAGGAGACTATCACTTACACTAATTCTCTAACAGAAATCATTGAGAAAGAGATACAAAAGACCAGTAAATTACCAAATAATGATATAACTGAAGAAATGATCACAAATAGTGATATAAATACAGAAATAGTATCAGAAGTATTCACAACAATAAACACTGAACTACCAATTAAATTGGTGTCTGAAACACAATCATCAGTAATTGTCACTCAAGAAGAAAAAACAACAAATAGTCAAATACTAAAAGATGTTACAAAAGAGAAAGAGATTACCACAAGTGATATATTGTCTGAATTGTCAACAAATGTTAGTAAAGATAATGAAAACAATAGAAAATCAGAATTGTCTGATACGACGACAACTCAAACATCAATTATTTTCCCGAAAGAAGTATCAAAAGCCACCAAAAGGTTTCCATTCGATTGGATTCCAATAAGAATTACAAAACCAATGAATATTCCGATGACAACCACACATAAACCCGAACCAACTAAATCTCGTCGACCTTTTTGGGTGATCATAAAACCAGTCGGTCGACCGCTTCCCACAGTAACTAAACCAGTTTTGGTGACAATTGCACCAAATATTACGGAAACAGTTGCAACAACAATAAAATCAACTGAATCTATGATATCAGAGAATAAAACACAAATTACTGAAAAGCCAGTGACAACATTGTCCACAATATATAGTATATTTAGCACAAATAGTAAACCAATCATAACTAATGATATAACTATTGCGTCAAATGAAATACAAACAGAAGTGGTAACTGAAGAACTAATAACAACAAGCAGTGAATTGCCGATAGAAGTCGTAAATCAAGAGATATTTACAAGTAGTAAAGTTCCGACAGAAGTTATAACTGAAGAGCTGACAACAAGTAGTGAATTGAAGACAGAAGTGGTAACTGAAGAAGAAATAACAAACAGTGAAATGTCAACAGAAGTGGTAACTAAAGAAGAAATAGCAAGTGAAATGCCGACAGAAGTTATAACTGAAGAACTGACAACAAGTAGTGAATTAACGACAGATTTGGTAACTGAAGAAGAATTCACGACAAGTAGTGAGTTGGCGAACGATTTGGTAACTGAAGAAGAAATAACAAGCAGTGAAATGCCTATAGAAGTCGTAAATCAAGAGATATTTACAAGCAGTGAAATGCCGACAGTAGTTGTAACTAAAGAAGAATTGACAACAAGTAGTGAATTGACGACAGAAGTGGTAACTGAAGAAGAAATAACAAGTAGTGAAATCCCAACAAAAGTGGTAACTGGAGAAGAATTGACGACAAGTAGTGAATTGGCGACAGATTTGGTTACTGAAGAAGAATTGACGACAAGTAGTGAATTGGCGACAGATTTGGTTACTGAAGAAGAATTGACGACAAGTAGTGAATTGGCGACAGATTTGGTTACTGAAGAAGAAATAACAAGCAGTGAAATGCCGATAGAAGTCGTAAATCAAGAGATATTTACAAGCAGTGAAATGCCGACAGAAGTGGTAACTGAAGAAGAAATAACAAGYAGTGAAATGCCAACAGAAGTGGTATCTGATGAAGAAATAACAAGCAGTGAAATGCCTATAGAAGTTGTAAATCAAGAGATATTTACAAGCAGTGAAATGCCGATAGAAGTGGTAACTGAAGAAGAAATAACAAGCAGTGAAATGCCGATAGAAGTGATAACTGAAGAAGAATTGACGACAAGTAGTGAGTTGGCGACAGAAATGGTAACTGAAGAAGAAATAACAAGCAGTGAAATGCCGATAGAAGTGGTAACTGTAGAAGAAATAAAAAGTAGTGAAATACCAACAGAAGTGGTATCTGATGAAGAATTGACGACAAGTAGTGAATTGGCGACAGATTTGGTTACTGAAGAAGAAATAACAAGTAGTGAAATGCCAACAGAAGTGGTATCTGATGAAGAAATAACAAGCAGTGAAATGCCTATAGAAGTTGTAAATCAAGAGATATTTACAAGCAGTGAAATGCCGATAGAAGTGGTAACTGTAGAAGAAATAACAAGTAGTGAAATACCAACCGAAGTGGTATCTGATGAAGAATTGACGACAAGTAGTGAATTGGCGACAGATTTGGTTACTGAAGAAGAAATAACAACAAGCAGTGAATTGCCGATAGAAGTCGTAAATCAAGAGATATTTACAAGCAGTGAAATGCCGACAGAAGTGGTAACTGAAGAAGAAATAACAAGCAGTGAAATGCCAACAGAAGTGGTAACAGAAGAAGAAATAACAACAAGCAGTGAATTGCCGATAGAAGTCGTAAATCAAGAGATATTTACAAGCAGTGAAATGCCGATAGAAGTGGTAACTGTAGAAGAAATAACAAGTAGTGAAATACCAACCGAAGTGGTATCTGATGAAGAATTGACGACAAGTAGTGAATTGGCGACAGATTTGGTTACTGAAGAAGAAATAACAACAAGCAGTGAATTGCCGATAGAAGTCGTAAATCAAGAGATATTTACAAGCAGTGAAATGCCGACAGAAGTGGTAACTGAAGAAGAAATAACAAGCAGTGAAATGCCAACAGAAGTGGTAACAGAAGAAGAAATAACAACAAGCAGAAGTGGTAACTGAAGAAGAAATAACAACAAGCAGTGAATTGCCGATAGAAGTCGTAAATCAAGAGATATTTACAAGCAGTGAAATGCCGATAGAAGTGGTAACTGAAGAAGAAATAACAAGCAGTGAAATGCCAACAGAAGTGGTAACAGAAAAAGAAATAACAACAAGCAGTGAATTGCCGATAGAAGTCGTAAATCAAGAGATATTTACAAGCAGTGAAATGCCGACAGAAGTGGTAACTGTAGAAGAAATAACAAGTAGTGAAATACCAACCGAAGTGGTATCTGATGAAGAATTGACGACAAGTAGTGAATTGGCGACAGATTTGGTTACTGAAGAAGAAATAACAACAAGCAGTGAATTGCCGATAGAAGTCGTAAATCAAGAGATATTTACAAGCAGTGAAATGCCGACAGAAGTGGTAACTGAAGAAGAAATAACAAGCAGTGAAATGCTAACAGAAGTGGTAACAGAAGAAGAAATAACAACAAGCAGTGAATTGCCGATAGAAGTCGTAAATCAAGAGATAGAATAATATAGAAGATCAAGCAGAAATAACAAGCAGTGAAATGCCGACAGAAGTGGTAACTGAAGAAGAAATAACAAGCAGTGAAATGCCAACAGAAGTGGTAACAGAAGAAGAAATAACAACAAGCAGTGAATTGCCGATAGAAGTCGTAAATCAAGAGATATTTACAAGCAGTGAAATGCCGACAGAAGTGGTAACTGAAGAAGAAATAACAAGTAGTGAAATGCCAACAGAATTGGTAACTGAAGAAGAATTGACGACAAGTAGTGAGTTGGCGACAGAAATGGTAACTGAAGAAGAAATAACAAGCAGTGAAATGCCGATAGAAGTGGTAACTGTAGAAGAAATAACAAGTAGTGAAATACCAACCGAAGTGGTATCTGATGAAGAATTGACGACAAGTAGTGAATTGGCGACAGATTTGGTTACTGAAGAAGAAATAACAACAAGCAGTGAATTGCCGATAGAAGTCGTAAATCAAGAGATATTTACAAGCAGTGAAATGCCGACAGAAGTGGTAACTGAAGAAGAAATAACAAGCAGTGAAATGCCAACAGAAGTGGTAACAGAAGAAGAAATAACAACAAGCAGTGAATTGCCGATAGAAGTCGTAAATCAAGAGATATTTACAAGCAGTGAAATGCCGACAGAAGTGGTAACTGAAGAAGAAATAACAAGTAGTGAAATGCCAACAGAAGTGGTATCTGATGAAGAATTGACGACAAGTAGTGAATTGGCGACAGATTTGGTTACTGAAGAAGAAATAACAACAAGCAGTGAATTGCCGATAGAAGTCGTAAATCAAGAGATATTTACAAGCAGTGAAATGCCGACAGAAGTGGTAACTGTAGAAGAAATAACAAGTAGTGAAATACCAACCGAAGTGGTATCTGATGAAGAATTGACGACAAGTAGTGAATTGGCGACAGATTTGGTTACTGAAGAAGAAATAACAACAAGCAGTGAATTGCCGATAGAAGTCGTAAATCAAGAGATATTTACAAGCAGTGAAATGCCGACAGAAGTGGTAACTGAAGAAGAAATAACAAGCAGTGAAATGCCAACAGAAGTGGTAACAGAAGAAGAAATAACAACAAGCAGTGAATTGCCGATAGAAGTCGTAAATCAAGAGATATTTACAAGCAGTGAAATGCCGACAGAAGTGGTAACTGAAGAAGAAATAACAAGCAGTGAAATGCCAACAGAAGTGGTAACAGAAGAAGAAATAACAACAAGCAGTGAATTGCCGATAGAAGTCGTAAATCAAGAGATATTTACAAGCAGTGAAATGCCGACAGAAGTGGTAACTGAAGAAGAAATAACAAGTAGTGAAATGCCAACAGAATTGGTAACTGAAGAAGAATTGACGACAAGTAGTGAGTTGGCGACAGAAATGGTAACTGAAGAAGAAATAACAAGCAGTGAAATGCCGATAGAAGTGGTAACTGTAGAAGAAATAACAAGTAGTGAAATACCAACCGAAGTGGTATCTGATGAAGAATTGACGACAAGTAGTGAATTGGCGACAGATTTGGTTACTGAAGAAGAAATAACAACAAGCAGTGAATTGCCGATAGAAGTCGTAAATCAAGAGATATTTACAAGCAGTGAAATGCCGACAGAAGTGGTAACTGAAGAAGAAATAACAAGCAGTGAAATGCCAACAGAAGTGGTAACAGAAGAAGAAATAACAACAAGCAGTGAATTGCCGATAGAAGTCGTAAATCAAGAGATATTTACAAGCAGTGAAATGCCGACAGAAGTGGTAACTGAAGAAGAAATAACAAGTAGTGAAATGCCAACAGAAGTGGTATCTGATGAAGAATTGACGACAAGTAGTGAATTGGCGACAGATTTGGTTACTGAAGAAGAAATAACAACAAGCAGTGAATTGCCGATAGAAGTCGTAAATCAAGAGATATTTACAAGCAGTGAAATGCCGACAGAAGTGGTAACTGAAGAAGAAATAACAAGCAGTGAAATGCCAACAGAAGTGGTAACAGAAGAAGAAATAACAACAAGCAGTGAATTGCCGATAGAAGTCGTAAATCAAGAGATATTTACAAGCAGTGAAATGCCGATAGAAGTGGTAACTGAAGAAGAAATAACAAGCAGTGAAATGCCGATAGAAGTGGTAACTGAAGAAGAATTGACGACAAGTAGTGAGTTGGCGACAGAAATGGTAACTGAAGAAGAAATAACAAGTAGTGAAATGCCAACAGAAGTGGTAACTGAAGAAGAATTGACGACAAGTAGTGAGTTGGCGACAGAAATGGTAACTGAAGAAGAATTGACGACAAGTAGTGAATTAACAACAGATTTGGTTACTGAAGAAGAAATAACAACAAGCAGTGAATTGCCTATAGAAGTCGTAAATCAAGAGATATTTACAAGCAGTGAAATGCCGACAGAAGTGGTAACTGAAGAAGAAATAACAAGTAGTGAAATGCCAACAGAAGTGGTAACTGGAGAAGAATTGACGACAAGTAGTGAATTGGCGACAGATTTGGTTACTGAAGAAGAATTGACGACAAGTAGTGAATTAACGACAGATTTGGTTACTGAAGAAGAAATAACAACAAGCAGTGAATTGCCGATAGAAGTTGTAAATCAAGAGATATTTACAAGCAGTGAAATGCCGACAGAAGTGGTATCTGATGAAGAATTGACGACAAGTAGTGAATTGGCGACAGATTTGGTAAGTGAACAAGAATTGATGACAAGTAGTGAAATGCCAACAGAAGTGGTATCTGATGAAGAAATAACAAGCAGTGAAATGCCTATAGAAGTGGTAACTGAAGAAGAAATAACAAGTAGTGAAATGCCAACAGAAGTGGTAACTGAAGAAGAATTGACGACAAGTAGTGAGTTGGCGACAGAAATGGTAACTGAAGAAGAAATAACAAGTAGTGAAATGCCAACAGAAGTGGTAACTGAAGAAGAATTGACGACAAGTAGTGAATTGACGACAGATTTGGTAACTGAAGAAGAATTGGCGACAGATTTGGTTACTGAATGCCAACAGAAGTGGTAACTGAAGAAGAATTGACGACAAGTAGTGAATTGACGACAGATTTGGAAGAAGATTTGGTTACTGAAGAAGAAATAACAAGTAGTGAAATGCCAACAGAAGTGGTAACTGGAGAAGAATTGACGACAAGTAGTGAATTGGCGACAGATTTGGTTACTGAAGAAGAATTGACGACAAGTAGTGAAATGCCAACAGAAGTGGTATCTGATGAAGAAATAACAAGCAGTGAAATGCCTATAGAAGTGGTAACTGAAGAAGAAATAACAAGTAGTGAAATGCCAACAGAAGTGGTAACTGAAGAAGAATTGACGACAAGTAGTGAGTTGGCGACAGAAATGGTAACTGAAGAAGAAATAACAAGCAGTGAAATGCCGATAGAAGTGGTATCTGATGAAGAATTGACGACAAGTAGTGAATTGACGACAGATTTGGTAACTGAAGAAGAATTGACGACAAGTAGTGAATTAACGACAGATTTGGTAACTGAAGAAGAATTGGCGACAGATTTGGTTACTGAAGAAGAAATAACAAGCAGTGAAATGCCGATAGAAGTGGTAACTGAAGAAGAAATAACAAGTAGTGAAATGCCAACAGAAATGGTAACTGAAGAAGTACTGACAACAACTAGTGAATTGACGACAGATTTGGTAACTGAAGAAGAATTGACGACAAGTAGTGAGTTGGCGACAGAAGTGGTAACTGAAGAAGAATTGACGACAAGTAGTGAATTAACGACAGATTTGGTTACTGAAGAAGAAATAACAACAAGCAGTGAATTGCCGATAGAAGTTGTAAATCAAGAGATATTTACAAGCAGTGAAATGCCGACAGAAGTGGTATCTGATGAAGAATTGACGACAAGTAGTGAATTGGCGACAGATTTGGTAAGTGAACAAGAATTGATGACAAGTAGTGAAATGCCAACAGAAGTGGTATCTGATGAAGAAATAACAAGCAGTGAAATGCCTATAGAAGTGGTAACTGAAGAAGAAATAACAAGTAGTGAAATGCCAACAGAAGTGGTAACTGAAGAAGAATTGACGACAAGTAGTGAGTTGGCGACAGAAATGGTAACTGAAGAAGAAATAACAAGTAGTGAAATGCCAACAGAAGTGGTAACTGAAGAAGAATTGACGACAAGTAGTGAATTGACGACAGATTTGGTAACTGAAGAAGAATTGGCGACAGATTTGGTTACTGAAGAAGAAATAACAAGTAGTGAAATGCCAACAGAAGTGGTAACTGGAGAAGAATTGACGACAAGTAGTGAATTGGCGACAGATTTGGTTACTGAAGAAGAATTGACGACAAGTAGTGAGTTGGCGACAGAAGTGGTAACTGAAGAAGAATTGACGACAAGTAGTGAATTAACGACAGATTTGGTTACTGAAGAAGAAATAACAACAAGCAGTGAATTGCCGATAGAAGTTGTAAATCAAGAGATATTTACAAGCAGTGAAATGCCGACAGAAGTGGTAACTGAAGAAGAAATAACAAGTAGTGAAATGCCTACAGAAGTGGTAACTGAAGAAGAACTGATAAGTAGTGAATTGGCGACAGATTTGGTAACTGAAGAAAAAATAACAAGTAGTGAAATGCCAACAGAAGTGGTTACTGAAGAAGAAATAACAAGCAGTGAATTGGCGAATGAAGTGGTAACTGAAGAAAAAATAAAAAACAGTGAAATGCCAACTGAAGTGGTAACTGAAGAAGAACTGACAACGAGTAGTGAATTGGCGACAGAAGTGGTAACTGAAGAAGAAATAACAAGCAGTAAATTGGCGACAGATTTGTTAACAGAAGAAGAAATAACAACAAGTAGTGAATTGCCGATAGAAGTGGTAACTGAAGAAGAAATAACAAGTAGTGAAATGCCAACAGAAGTCGTAAATCAGGAGATATTTACAAGCAGTGAAATGCCGACAGAAGTGGTAACTTATGAAGAATTTACAACTAGTAGTGAATTGGCGACTGAAGTGGTAACTGAAGAAGAACTGACAACAAGTAGTGAATTGGCGACAGATTTGGTAACTGAAGAAGAAATAACAAGCAGTGAAATGCCAACAGAAGTGGTAACTGAAAAAGAAATAACAAGCAGTGAATTGGCGACTGAAGTGGTAACTGAAGAAAAAATAAAAAACAGTGAAATGCCAACTGAAGTGGTAACTGAAGAAGAACTGACAACGAGTAGTGAATTGGCGACAGAAGTGGTAACTGAAGAAGAAATAACAAGCAGTGAATTGGCGACAGATTTGGTAACTGAAGAAGAAATAACAAGCAGTGAAATGCCAACAGAAGTGGTAACAGAAGAAGAAATAATAACAAGCAGTGAATTGCCTATAGAAGTCGTAAATCAGGAGATATTTACAAGCAGTGAAATGCCATCAGAAATGACAACTGAAGAAGAACTGACAACAAGTAGTGAATTTGAGACAGAAGTGGTAAATGAAGAAGAAATAACAACAATTGATGAATTGATGACAGATGCGGTAACTGTCGAAGAAATAACAAGTAGTAAAATTCCGACAGAAGTGGTAACTGAAAAAGAAATAACAAGCAGTGAATTGCCATCAGAAGTGGAAACTGAAGAAGAAATAACAACAAGCAGTGAATTGTCGATAGAAGTCGTAAATCAAGAGATATCTACAAGCAGTGAAAAATCGACAGAAGTGGTAACTCAAGAAGAAATGACAACAAGTCGTGAATTGACGACAGATTTGGTAACTGAAGAAAAAATAACAACAATTGATGAATTGATGACAGATGCGGTAACTGACGAAGAAATAACAAGTAGTAAAATTCCGACAGAAGTGGTAACTGAAGAAGAACTGACAACATTTAATGAATTGCTGACAGAATTGGCAAATGAAGAAGAAATAACAAGCAATGAATTGTCGACAGAAGTGGTCACTGAAGAAGAACTGACAAGTAGTGAATTACCCCTAGAAGAAGTAAATCAAGAGATATTTACGAGTAGTAAAGTTCCCACAGAAGTGTTAACTGACGAAGAAATAGCAACAAGTAATGAATTGTTCACACATGCGGTCACTGAAGAAGAACTGATAACAAACAGTGAATTACCGATAGAAGTTGAAACTGAAGAACAATTGATAAGCAGTGAAATGTCAACAGAATTAAACAATGAAAAAGTAATAGAATTGATATCTCAAGAAATACCTATAGAAGTGGTTAACAAACCAAATAAAAATAGAATAAATAGTAGTAATTCTGACGATTTTACAGAATCTTTCGATGAATTAATAGAAGAAATAAGTGAATCACAAACTCTAGAATCTTCACAATTTGCAGAAAACCAAAATGAAGAACAAATAAATAATAATAATTCTGATGAAAATCAATTATCTCTTGAAAATAATGAACACAATTCTGAACAAAGTTCTGATGAAATTAACAACAATTCCGAAGAACATAACGAAGAAAATAATGATAATGAAAATAATGAACAAAATTCAGACACAAATATTTCTGAACACATTTCAGATGAAAACATTAGTGAAACAATTTCTGGTGATAATAATGAACAAAATAATGTGGAAATTAATGTCGTTAATGAAGATAATGGCGATAATAATAACAATAATGAAAACAATTTAAACGAAAATAGCGAACAAAATATTAGTGATATTATTGAAGAAAATGAAGAAAAATTAGAAGAAATAGAAGAAATAATCACCGAAAACAATGAACAACTAAATGAAGAAAATGAATCAAATCCGGAGGAAAATGCAGAAAATGTCGAAACAAATGTTGAATCTCAAGAAAATAACTCTAATATTTTGCAAAACGATGGATCAGATGATAATAATAATGTACTCAATGATGAACAATACAATAATATTGATGTTATAATCAATTCTGATGAAACCAATTGGATTGAACAAACCAATGACCAGAACATAGATCAGACAAATGATCAGACAAGTGATCAAACAAATGATCAAACTAGTGATCAAACCAATGATCAAACAAGTGATCAAACAAGTGATCAGATCAATGATCAAGCCATTGATCAGACTAGTGACCAGATCAGTGACCAGACAAATGATCAGACAAGTGATCAAACAAGTGATCAAACAAGTGATCAAACAAATGATCAAACAAGTGATCAAACAAGTGATCAGATCAATGATCAAGCCATTGATCAGACTAGTGACCAGATCAGTGACCAGACAAATGATCAGACAAGTGATCAAACAAGTGATCAAACAAGTGATCAAACAAATGATCAAACGAGTGATCAAACAAGTGATCAGATCAATGATCAAACCATTGATCAAACTAGTGAGCAAATCAATGATCAAACAAATGAAGATAATAGCGATGAAAATAACAATAATGAAAATAATTTAAACGAAAATAGCGAACAAAATATTAGTGAAATTATTGAAGAAAATGAAGAAAAATTAGAAGAAATAGAAGAAATAATCACCGAAAACAATGAACAACTAAATGAAGAAAATGAATCAAATCCGGAGGAAAATGCAGAAAATACTGATACAAATGCCGAGTCTCAGGAAAACAATTCTAATATTTTACCAAATGATGGTTCAGATGATAATAATAATGTACACAATGATGAACAATACAATAATCTTGAAGATACAAACAATTCCAATGAAACTAATGACCAGACAAGTGATCAGACCATTGACCAGACAAGTGATCAGACCATTGACCAGACAAGTGATCAGACCATTGACCAGACCAACACTGATGAAGATTTTTCTAATGAAGAGAAGATAGACAATGAAATTCTCACAGAAGTATTAACTGAAGATGCAATCACTACAAGCAGTGAATTGTCGCCAGAAGTTGTCACTTAAGAAGAAATATTTATTTGAATTTTTCTGTCAAAATGAAGGGATTTTATTTGAAAACATCTCTTCCTAATTGAAAATTTTTCCAAATTTTAATTATATAAGTATTATATATTTATTAACATTAATTTGTCAATAATTAAACAATTAGTAAACAATCAATAATTCCTAAATATTTTAATTATTCATTTATTTCATTTATTTCATGAGTCACTCAAGATTTATAACATTTATTTACAATTTTCATGTCTAATAAATAATACAATAAATTAATATTTAATTTCTTTGTTTTATTAATTTTGAAAATGATAATAGAAATCAAATTATGACTTATTTTATGGATAAAAAAAATATATATTATATTTTGACAAAAAAATAATAAAAGTAAAAGATATTTTTTTATTTAATACTATCAAATTTATTTTAATAGTTCTAAATCATATTTATAATAATATCCAATAATAAATCATATCCAATATCTATTAATTTAATTTTTGTTTATATAAAATTATTATATGTTTTTAGTTAATTGCTTTTTATATAATTAATTTAGTGTAGTATATTTTTATTTAATGTAATATCTTAGACTAAATATAATTTTAAAAATTTTAATTATTTATTTGATTTTCTACATTATGTTTAAATGCAATTTTGTTTATCATTAGACATTTTCAGTGACATTTCAGAATCTTTTAAAAATTATGTTTTATCTATTATTTCAAATATTATTATGAAGGTTGGATAACTTAATAATATAATATTAATAATCAATGTAAACTTTATATAAATTATGCATAAATCTATAATAAGTTATATATAAATGTTAATTAGAAAATACTAAATTTAAAATTTTTAAACATACATTTAAATTATAAATTACAGTTACATATATAGATTTATAACGAACTTTATAAAAATAAAGATAGAAAATTTTTTTAAAAAGCTATAACAAAATTATTTTTAAAAATTATTGAAATTATGTTATATAAAATTGAAAATTTATTATATAATTATATTTTTAAGAAATAAATTACTTTAATTATAAAAATTAGCAATATAAAAAGAACAACATAGAAATAATAGACTAATTTACAGTACAACCCTAATTGTGTTAAATTAATCTGTAGAAAGCGTGTGGTATTGCATGAAAAATTGTTTATTATTTGTAATCATTAAGTAAAAGTAATAATTAATAATTTAAAAAATTTGCTTTGTAATCTTTAATAGTTAAATAATATTTTATACTATACTATATACAGTATTTTATAAGAAAGTTTTTATAAAACTCATATACTTTATAGAGATTCAATCATTTAAGTAAATTGAGCTAAAATAGTATAAATAAATATTAAGATTTTGTTATAATAATGGATTTATATAACATCAATGAAACTTTGCCGACAATCAACAGCATTACTGAATTGATTGCTATATTACGGCAACTCTTTGATCAAAACAAATACATTGATGTGAATTATGTGCAAAAGATTTTGTTATCTTATAAAAGTAATGTAAATGATTGGATCAAATTTGCTTATTTTGATGAACAAAAGTATGTGAAACTGATATGTAAATGATTTATTAGTCTGGTTATTGATATTATTATTTTTTATAGATATACCCGTAATTTGGTTGATAAAGGTAACGGTAGGTATAACTTAATGTTGTTGTGTTGGTCTGAAGGACAGGGATCTGTGATTCACGATCATTCAGATTCTCACTGTTTTATGAAAGTAATTACTAATTATTTGAACAGTTTGTTTTTTTTCAATTAAAACAATATATATTATTAAAATAATTTGATTGAATTATTAGATGCTTTGGGGAAGTTTATCTGAGACTCGATATGATTGGCCAGATATACCCGAAAACATTAACGATTCAATGAAAGTGATTAATCAAACTTATCTTAAACTAAATGACGTCACTTATATGAACGGTAATTATTTTATATTTTGTTTATTTTACTTATTAATAGTTATTAATAGATTCAATTGGTTTACATCGTGTATGTAATCCTAACAAACAATGCAAAGCCGTATCCCTTCATCTCTATTGTCCTCCGTATTCAAAATGTCAAGTGTTTGATGAGAGCACCGGTAGACGAGATGAGGCAACTGTTAATTATTATAGCAAATATGGTAATTGTGAAACTTATTTCTACAAACAGTTTAAACAAATACATGAATTTGGAATCGATTGGCAATCATTTTAATAATTATTATAATTAATATTTAAATTATTATAAATATTGTTTTTTTATTGTAATGATTATTAAAACAGTAAATAATCAAATAAATTAAATAATCAATCAAATAATTAAATAAATCAAATAAAATAACATTATTTAATAAATAATTTAAATCATGCCCTTCCCTTCCAAGTATTACTTTATTGAAACTGTGTTATGAAAATATTAATAAATTTTTAACTTTATTTTGATATGTTTTTGTAATATACCAGTAATTGAAAAGTGAAAATGCAAAAAAATCATTTTCATTATAATTTATATAATTATTATTCTCAATAATATTTTTATTTGTTATTAATATACAGTACAATTTGTTTATTTTTTAAAAATATTTACTAATGTTGTTGAATAAATAACATTAACTTTTAAATCAAAAAGTTATCTTTAATAACACTAGTTTTCAATCACTGATATATATTGTATATAAAACATATCAAAATAAAGTTTAATATTTATTAATATTTTCATAATATTCATACTGTATATAAAAATATTATTTTATGCATATCTTAAATATAAATCCAAATCATTTAAATAAATTAAATACTATAGATTTCTTATGCATAAAGTTATGTTTTAATAAAAATCATTATTTTTATGTATTGCTTGTAATAAACTATATTAAAGTAACAGTTTATTTAGATGTATAAATAACATTTACTTATACTGTACTGTAAATCAATATCAAGTTTATGCTCTTATATTTTAATGTTTTATTTCAAAATAATCTGTAAATTTTCTTAGATTTATATAATATAAATTGTTATAATTTATTAAAATAATTATTAATATTTATAAATTGGCTCAAATGTTGTAAGTATTGTTGTAGTTTGTATTACTTATTCTACTGTATATAAAATTAGGCTAAAATAACTGATATATGATTTACTTATTTGTAAATTTTTTTATAGTAAGTATTTATTAATTTATAATTTATTTAATTTTTAGAAATTATGAACAATTACTTAATGATAAGCTATGTATTTCATATAAAGATGGTCAACAAATTCAATTTACAAATAATATTATTGCAAACCAAACAATTAAAATGCTTGCCGTTAAAGAAACGCCATATATTTTTTCAAAGTATTAATTATGAAATCAATTTTTGCCAAATTTCTTATTTTCAAATATAATATATCAAATTTAATATTTATATGACGCAAAAATTAATTTCATTAATATATATTATACAATGTATAAGATATTTTCAAAATATAAATAATTGTTAAAAATTTACTTTTTATTAAATTTACTTTTTGATTAATTAGAGATAACTTATCAATAAAGTCCAACTATAGAAAGATTTGCGGTCCACTTATATTATTAGCAGTTGAACTAAGGCGTGGTTCACATATTACGTTCGCACTTTTTAAGAAATCTAGACCCCCTCCCTCCCCTATGTTCGCAATTGTTCGCATGTAGTCATTTAAAAAAATTACGTTCGCTTATCCTTAACCGCTACCCCCCCCCCACCACAAGAAATAAGATATTATCTAAATGCGAACGTTCTTAAAGTCTCTACCCCCCCTCGTTCGCAAAAGTTCGCTTTGGCTAAACCCCCCCCCTCCCCTCAAGTGCGAACGTAATATGTGAACAACGCCTAAGCGATTGAATGTCAGGTAATTAATGTTTAGATATTAATTAAATATATTATTATTTATTATTATTTATTATTATTATTATTAGTCTGGTATTTAATGCTCACCCAAAATCAGAGATTGATTTAGTGGCAAAATTAGCACAAAATAATACAGATATATTGCTAATGCCAATAATAGTCAGTCATTTTAAAATACTTAATAATCTTTATTCAAATAAATTTCTCAATATATCATTTAAAAATAGCCATTGCATTGATTAAGTTGAATTGGGAAACATAGCATATATTGTTAAACGTGATAACACTATATTATTTAGTTATTTCAATTGTTTTCAACTATCCGTTTGGATTACTTTAATAATGACTTCGACAATAGTATCGGCAATTATAGCTGTAATGACAGATAATATAAGACAATATATTGAGTATCACTGGAACTTAGCTATCATTACAATATGCAAATCATTTCAAAATTTTGTCAATAAGTTTAATAGCAAACAATATTTTCTATACGGTCTTTGGTTACTCAGTGCAAACATACTGACCATACAATTTGCTACTTATCTATTGGATTACATGATAAGGGCTGAGACAATCATAAAAGTAGACTCAATTGAAGATATGGCTAAAACAGATGACATGAAATTTTATTCAAGAAAAGACAGTAATCTATATGTTTATGCCAATAATGAATGCACTGATTTGGCCACAAATTTGAGAAAACGTATTCAAGTTTATGATAAACAACAGACATTTAATATTGATTTTCTGAAACAATTGGCCACAAACTTGATGTCGGGTTCACACGGATTAGTTGCCAATAAGTTATCGTTAATAGCCTTTTTACTAGAGCTCAGTAATAAAACCAATACCAAACTTTTGGATAGTATGCATATCTCCATAAATGGTGGCGAAAATTTGCCATATTTTTTGGCCATCAATGAGTTCACTGATAAACATGTTTTCAAACAATTGAATGATATGTAAGTTTATTAATTTTTTGATCATTGAAACATTTGTTTGTCGTTTATATCAAAACAAAAAGTTTATTTTTATTATAACTTGTGCTCATATATACAGTCATTTAGTATATATATATGCATACTATATACACATACTGTATATATAAAGTGCATATTATATACTTTGAATAACGAAACTATACTATGTTTTCCTGATTTAGTATTTTGAGGTCAAGAGAGTCGGGTCTCTATAGCCAATGGATTGACAATACATTGAGATATTTACGCTTTGATCGCAATATAGTCGACATTCACATTAAGGATAAGATCTATGAGTTTTCAGTGCTAATGCTTTATGAATTCAGTGATTCATTTTACTTGTTGTTAATCGGTATAACCATATCATTGACTAACTATGTCTTTGATATCATTTATTTGTTTTTAAAGTTTAAAATCATTGCTTTTCAACGATGACATTGTTGTTTGTTATCCGTTTGTCACCTCTAAATGGTTGGTCATAATAACAAACAAACATCTGTTCAATCAAAACAACTGATAATCCATATAATTATCATATTTTCAAAAATAATTATTATATTTGTCGTATTACTAAAATTAATTAGTTTTTATTTAATTTTTATATGAAAATAATTTTATTTTTAACATAAAATAATTTATTTTATAGATATTACATAAATTGTAAAATTTGTTTTTTTTCTTAACTATATCAATGTTTCGCAGTTTTTTTTAAAAATAATTATGTTATATATTTAGTCATTTTAATGTACAATATTATTATTAATACAATACAACAATATTTAGCAAAATATTAACAACTCAAAGACACTTAGATATTATTTAAAGCTCACATTTTTAAAATTATAATTTAATTTTTATCTGCTTATCATATTTATATCAAACTGCCATTAATTTGACATTTTTAAAATAAAAATAATTTATAAATATATTTTTTAATAATCACAGTAAGTAATGTATTGTTATATTAATCACTAGGACTGGTAGTTGTGGTGGTGGCGAGTCTGACGACATCACAATATTGAGACACTAAATAATAATTAATATTATTATTGTTTTTTAATAAAGAATATTCTTATAAAATACATACATTGAGTTGTAGTACACGATCTCTTACAACAGTCATCGACAACACCACGAATTTGTCGTCTGAAATGTCTTAAATCATTGTTGTTTCTGAGTAACTGAACCAAAGCTAATGAATATTTTGGTGTATCGTTAGTCTCTTCTACTGAATTGGTTTCCAAGTCTTGATCTGATAAATGTATTTAATAAAAATATTTAATAAATTTTGTAAATTTTAAGTAATTTACAAAATATTTAATGTATTTTTACCGTTAATCACTTTATTGATTGAACTCCTTTTATTATAACTCTCGCAAAGAAAGTTGAGAGTTCGGGTGATTTCACTGCCGCAATACCGTCGGGCAGATCGGGTGTCCACACGATGAGACTCGTATGGAAAACCATTAATTGATAAATATGTGTTTGGACTGCGAAATGCAGTGGTTTTTGTGATCAATATAATTGATAAAATAATTATATAACTTAATAACATTGTCGATAACACCCGACTATTCATTTTTTAATATTAAATAAATATATGTATTTTAATTATCACAAAAAATAATTATATTAAAATATCATTTAATTCACTTTTACAAAAATATTTTCATATACAATGTCGTCTCACCTTTATATAGCTAAGGTATGGTCTGGGATATTGAAGTTTTACTGACGACAGGAGCGAAAAAATCAGTTTAAAATCAAAAACATTTTCTATTAAAAAGTTATAGTTTTATTGGTTGGTATGACATAAAAAACAGGGATTTTGTTTTCTGTATTCACTTTTTTATTATCCGAGATTTAATAACTTTGATTTTCTGAGTTTAAATAATAATAATAATAATATAATACAGTGTATACTTGCGTTCAGCAGCACTGGTGGTATGAACTGTGGATGACATTGACACATACGTAGGAGGTTGTCGAGGGTTATCGGGATTGTATTGCTTGGAGAGTACTGTAGTCATAATGTATGTGCAATCATATTATAACTATTTTTTTTAAATAAAAATAATACTTTAATTGGTATTAACAACATTTACTGTGTAGTATTTATAAATAAATTAAGTAAATATCAAAATAAAAAATATCTTTTTTCAAGATCTCTATCAGATTTCATATATATCTCAGACTATTATTGATAATGGGATATAAACCGAGTGTCAATAACAAGTATAGTATAAATATACTCATTTAGATTACAGTAAGCGATGGTATTAAAGTAAATACACTACAACTGTGTAATACTGACCAAAATAAAATCATTATAATCCCATATATCTGGAAATATAAAAATAAAATAAAATAATACATTTATAATTTTTATATTCCAGTACTTAGATTGACATTTTAAAATAATTTTCAATACTGTATAAGTAAAGTAAAGTATAAGTAAAAACTGAATAAATGTTATTATATCATATAATTTATATGATCTTTTAGTTATACAATTACTACAATTAATAGTAAATGCAAATATTCTAATAAAGTAATACTAATATTTATTATATTTTTTATTTTTTTACAGATTGTTAAAAGATTAATTTAATTTAGATGTTTGATAATTATTAATTACAGTATATATTATATTTTTATATACTATATAATATATTACTAAAATTTAGTATATTACTAATACATTTTACAGATTTATATATTATTAGTAAATAATTTATTACAATATACTGTATTTCATATAAGAAAAATAAAAATAGTAAAAATAAATTTATCAATTATTATAATAATATTTATTTTATAAATCTCAATTTATTTATTTTTACAAAATATATTACTGATATAAGTATTATAGTTTCTACAATACTTTATAATCATTGAAATATATTTAATAAAATAATTAATTATTTTATTTTTGTGTTTTTAATAATTTGACTTTATATCAGTTTTTATTTATATAAAATTTAATGTTAATAAACAATAAAAATAATATACAAATTAAATAATAATTTAATGATATAGTTTAGTATACGATTGTAGACAATTGTGTCTAAATAAATATATGATTAGCAAAGTTTAACTAATTATAATATGTAAAACTTAATTGCTAAGCACAATATCAATTCATATATGAAAATGCTCCTGGTGATTATTTAATTATAATATAAAATATTAAAAAATAACAATTACACATATACCTACTCTACTAAATTAATTATTGTCTTATTTTATTATACAAATTATGCCTATTTTCGCACAAAATTCACCTAAAAACCTAAAATACTCAATACATATCAAAACTCAAACTAATTTAAAACTTTGAGTGTTTGAGTTGTTAAACTTGAGACTAGTTATCAATAATTTTAATTAATAAATCAAAGTTTATTAATTAAATATTAAAATAATTCATAAAAAATTAATACAATCATTATTTAGATAACATAAAATTATAAATATTGTAACTATAATTTTTGAATACAAACTCCCGGTTCATCGATGTACTCCCGAGGGGCGTAACATTTCAAATTCATATTTTCACAGCAACTATAACCTGAAAGTCCACCACATCTTTGACCAATTTGACGGCACGGGTTGATACATATGCCCACAGATGACGGATTTGTTTGACTACATATCAACTGTCGACGGCTCGGACAACAAGTAATATGATTAACTGTTCCGCATTGTTCACCTTCATTGGCACAGGTATTACCAAATACTACTTTAAAACTAAACAAAACTATTTTTTGATATCATATAATGTAAGTTTAACTTTAATGTTTAGTTTTCTAGATTTTAAATACTTACCGAATATAAATATATAAAATTTCATATTTTAATATTTAATAAAATGTGTTATAAATAATAAAATGATTCAATTTTGATTTAAACAATAATTTTATAGTATAAAAATATTTTATATGCTGAAATCATATAGATAATATTAATAATATTAATAAAGTAACCAATAATATTAAATTACAATTTAATGATAGTACAAAATTTTAAGTGCATTATCAGAAAAAATTATGAAAAACTATTGTGAAAATTTATTTGTTAGTTTATTAACAATTTAAGCAATATCTATGATTTTGCAAAACTTAATTATTATTCTTGAAATAAATACATTTATAATATTACAAGTTCTGTACCTTTAGTTTTCCAATAACTTTTAAATATTTTAATTATAATAAGATTTTTATAATATTAGTTTATAACTTAAAGTAGTCAATTATAAAAACTTCATAAATATTATTATAATATAAAGTTACAGTTTATTCAAAATTTAAGTAATTTTATTTAGAAAATAACATTTTATACATATATGTCATATATACAGTATTAATACATATTAAATGTAAACTAAATTTTAGTACATTTAAGTTTTAGACATAAAATTTTATAAAACGCATATAAAAATCATAAAGTATTAAAGATTTTATAACTTTTTACATATGAATACATTGACCACTTCTATCGCAACAATCTTGCGTTATATTACACCTGAGATTCAGTACACAAAAGCACTCAAATCCGACAATTCCTCCACATATCTGTCCCTCATTTGCACAGGTAGTCCAAATGAATCCATAGCTCAATTCAATTAAAACTATTAAATAAAAAATTATGTAAATCCTGTACATATAATATATTAATAGTTTTTAACAAAATTAAAATCAATATAAATTATGAAGTTTCAATAGCATTGATAATTACCAAATGAAATAACAATAAAAATTATATAAAACTTCATTTTGTTATTCAAAACAAAACGATAAATAAAGAATAATAATTAATATTAATATAACGGGACAAATATCATCAGCGCTCCTACCGTTACCAATAGCACATAACAAAGTCGATTTTGTTATGTGCGATATTAAACACATTTAAATTTATTAAAATTATATTATATTTAATTATATTTGATATTATTTTCTAATTTCGTATTAATTATATGTTTATTAATATTATGCTTTGTTATTTAAAATGCATTATAATTTATTATTAATACTGTAAATAAGTTAAATTAATTATTATTATGTTTAAAATACTGTAATTAAGAAATACATGTATTTCAATGACTATCTCATTATATTTATCAATAAAATCGAAGCTCAAGCTCAAGGAGGAGCTCAGGCTAGCAATAGCTAGTCTAGGAGGGGCTTCCAGGCTCTCACAAACATTGACTACTTATTAATAGTAAACCTTAGGTGTAACAAAGTTTGGCTATAATTCCGGTTTCCCGGACGAGTCATCCCTAGTTCCGATATAAGGACTTCCGATACTACTACCGATATATAAGCGCAGTGACCAGAGCCCCGAATGGGCTATTCATATATACTGTGACGTAGTAAATATACCTTCAAATATGCCGTAACGCTTAAATAGTCTTCTAATAGTATCCCATTCATAAATTACGTCACAGTTCCCTATCAAACATACCCCGCATTGCTTATTGCTTCGTAAAGTCTTACTTTACGGGCATTTGACGGGTAAAACACCCACCTATACCCGTTACAAAAGAATAATAATTAATATTAATAATATAGTAATTTCTTTATATTATAACTAAATCAATTATACTTATTGTAAGTGTATTTTTTACTTATCAGTTAATCAGGTTTGCGATCTGGGGGTAAGGGGTCAGACAGGCTTACCACCAGAAATCAAATTTTTGGTGATTTTACCCCCAGATTTTTTTTGGAAATTTGAAATATTGTCGTTTAAAAACTAAGAGAAACTGACCCACCTAAAATTTTTTGAAATTTATCAAAATTAAAAGATTTATTAATATTTGTTTTGTTTAAAACTATTTTTTATTTTTTGAAATTTAAGTTAAATTTAAATTAATTAATAATTTTGAGAAAATTTGCCAAAATTAAAAGAATTTATTCCTATTTTAATGGGAATTTGCTAGATTTTTTTGGGAATTTTTGAAAAATTATTGTTTAAAATGTAATAAAATCAACACCCAGTACCCCATCCTAAGATTTTTTTTAGATTTTTGTCAGTTAATCCCATAAGTACCCCATATATCAAAATACTTGAACAACACTTGTATAAAGAATTATATATTTAAAAAACATTTCTTCTTTAAAGTATTATTTATAATTATGACAATTATTTTAATCAATTAAAGCGCAAAATATGAAAACTAAAAAATAAATTATTTAAATAAATAAATTATTTTTATACAATATTATACAATGGTTCTCATATTGGCAATGAAATTTATAATATAATTTAGTTAGTGTTATCTGGTTACTAATATTACATTGATAAATATTACATTAATTAAATATTTTAAAACAATTATTGCAATGACTACAACAAAGTCATAAAATACAATATATATATATAACTTATAACTTATATATTATTCAAATATTTTGTTTGATAGTATTTATTAAATTTAATCTAAAAACTTAATAGAATTTTATGAAAAACAATGTAATAAAAGTGTGACGGGTGTGGGGTTGACTTTCCCGTCATTGAAGCGAAGCTGTGATGAAAAGCCAATGTTGAGTGTTGTTGTTGATGAATGAGATCAAAATAATTAATAAATAATATTAATTAAGGCGAATGTTCATTAGGTGCCGTCACAAGTGTATATAATAACATTGAAATATAACTGAATTTTATTTAAAGTTAAAACACATTGAAATAGATAGGGAGTACATAGTGTTCCATTACAATATAATATATAGAATATAGGATAACTATATAATGAAAAGCAAGAGATGCGTGCTCTTTGATAGCAAGCGAGTAACTGATCAAGTAATGGATGCAAAGCATTATTATATAGTGATTCTACTAATCAATAAATGTACTGTCAAGGCTATGCTTCCAGAATATTCTATAGTTACGCAACTGTAGATACAGTGACGCAACCAGAGCATAGGAATGCTATGATTGACAGGTCTATGGGAGTTATAATGTAAAATGTAATATTTGGTTATAATTAATAAAGTATAATTAGTTGTGTGTTGTGTGTTACATAGTTGTGTTAAGTGTGAAGTCTAGAACACGAATATAACAAAAAGTCTACAAAAACATTAAAAATTACTAAATTATTGACTAAATAAGATTTACAACAAATAGAGAATTTCAATCAGTTATATATGGTAAGTATTGTATACTTATATAAATGGGAGCACTGTACCACTATATAGTAGTGTACACATTAATAGTACAGTGTACCCCAACATATAATGTTAAGCACTGTTGACTCTCCACTGCTATAGCGTATTGAGTCAACGCCCCTGTAATGGCGGCTTACAGTGTATACATGTGTTTGTATGTATGTGTGTGTGTATGTGAATGTATGTAAACATTTAATTGTAAGTATGTTTTTTAATTTAATTAATTAGATATATATATTTATAAATAAAAGATTTGTGTTTCATCACATTCTCCCCTCGCTGACAAAAATTTATTCTCGTAGAATAAATTTCTTTAGTTGAGAGACGTGAGCGCGAAAGGTTGGACCAGACAAAGTGTCCGCGATGTCGTATGTGACTTCACCATACCGTGCGATGATGTAATACGGTCCTGTCCATCGTGGTGATGTCTTTTGTACCGTTGGATGATTAGCGGGTGTTATTCGAATGACTCGTTCACCAGTTTCATAAACAATGTGTTTATGTTTATCATCAAATCTAATCTTGCGAGTTGCTTGTGCTTGTCTTGTACGTTCATTTGCAAGTTTTCTAGCGTCATCTATTGAGATTGCGGGAGATGCAAATGTCGGAGTTTCTTCAATTCCAAATATTAGAAACTGTGGAGTAAATCCAGTGATGTCATGTGGTGTTCTGTTGTAATTTCGGATGACGTCCTTTAATAATGTATTCCATTTACGTTTCGGTTTGTCTATTAGTTCGGCTCTAAGTTTCTCAATTATGATACCGTTAGCTCGTTCAACGATACCATTAGTTTGCGGATGATATGGAGTTGAAAGTGAATGTTTAATATGATTAAGATATAAATATTCATTAAATGTCTTTGAAGTAAATGATTTGTGACAATCAGTTAATAAACGTTTAAATTGTATTCCAGAATTAATAAGATTAATAAATAGCGATATAATAGTTTCTGTAGTATTCTTGTGTGTAGGATATGCCCATATATATCGKGAGTGATGATCTATAAATACTTGAATATATTTGTGCTTTGTTTTGTCGGATGCCGGTCCCATGACAATAGTATCTAAACCAACCAATTCTAAAGGCTCTAGATCCGGTTCAGGGCAAATATATTTCCCAGGAGTTGGCCTATGGTCAAGTTTAGTTAACTGACATGTGCGACATGATTCAACATATTGTTTTATGTTGTGTATTATGTTTGGCCACCAGTAGTATGAAGTAATGAGTTTTACTGTCTTGGCTTTACCAGGGTGTCCATGGTTATCATGAAATTTTTCAAATAGCTTTGTACGTAACGCTTCCGGTATAACTGCTTTATGTATACCATTGTGTTGAACTGTTGTAATGCCAAATCGTATAACAGGTGATTTAACATAAGATAAATCAGTGTTTTCTTGTGCATCTTTTATTTCTCGAGTTGATAGATGGAATGCTATAGGTGCTCTTGAGAGTGCGTCAACGTGTTGTTGATTACGGCCTTCTCTATGTATGATCTTCATTGGATAGGTTGATAGCTCAACAGCCCACATATGTAATCTTTTCTTCGGTTTCTTAAGAGTAGTAAGCCATTGTAGAGCTTTATGATCAGTGATGACCTCAAACTCTCGGTTGAGATAAACTTCAAAATGTTCAATAGCTTCCTTGACCGCCAGGCATTCAAGTTCAGTAGCACTATAGTTTTGTTGTGCTGTATTGAGTTTGCGTGAAAAATACTCAATTACGTGTTCTTGATTGTCATCACCTATTTGAGTTAACGTAGCTCCGATACCAATACCTGAGGCATCAGTATATACTCGACACGGTTTATTAGTGTCAAATAAAGTTAACACTGGTGGTTTAGTTATGTCATCTGTTAATATCTTAAATGCTTTTTCCTGATCTGGGCCCCAATGAAATGTAACACCTTTCTTTGTTAAGGCTGTAAGATGTTTAGCCTTATTAGCAAAGTTAGCAATAAAGCGTCTGTAATAACCAGTAAGTCCTAGAAATCTTCTGACTTGTCGTAGGGTAGTTGGTTTCGGGAACTCTTTCACTGCCTTAATTTTGTCTTCAGATGGTTTGACGGATTGATATGAAACAACATGTCCAAGATAAGCTACTTCATTCATAGCGAAGTGGCATTTACTTTGTTTTAGCTTGATATTGTGTTGTCTTAAAATGTTAAATACTTTTTCTAATAATGTTATATGTTCTTCGTGTGTTTTTGTGTATAATATTATGTCATCTAAATAATTAATTGCACCATTGTAGAGAAGAGGACCCAATATTTGTTGAATAATGCGTTGAAATGTTGCGGGTGCGTTCTTGAGACCGAATGGCATGACTAGCCATTCATAATGGTTTTCATGTGTGACAAAAGCTGTTTTGTCAACTGAATCGGAGTCCATCTCGATATGCCAGTAACCCCAGGCCACGTCAAGTGTTGTGAAATAACGAGCGCCCTGTAGACGGTCTAACACTTCAGTGATCCTCGGCATAGGCATTTTGTCATCAATAGTAATAGCGTTAAGTCTTCTGTAGTCTATGCATAAGCGTTGTCCACCGTCTTTCTTTGGTACCATAGTAACTGGGAATGCCCATTGGCTGTCTTTGCTTTTGCGTACGAGTCTTTGGCCTCCGCCTCTCGTATAATTTTTACAATCTCGTCGTATTCATGTTGAGGTCGGCGGTAAGGACGTAGTTGAATTGGTGGATGCGGAACCGTAATAATCTTGTGTTTGACAACTTGAATTCGTCCAATGTCTGTGTCATGTTGTGCGAAAACTTGTCTATGTCTTGCGAGTAGTTTCTTTAGCGTAATGTCTTCTCTTGTTTCTATGTTTAGAATGCTAGGCTTTACCTGTTCAATGCGAGCGGTAACTTTACGAGTGCTTAGGTCTACAGTTAAACCAAAACGTTTACCAACATCAAGTCCAAGTAAGAGCGGGTACCGGAAATTAGCCAGTACGTGAAATGTAATTAAATGTGTTTGTGATCCCATTGAGAGTTGAGTAGATACGCGACCAATACTTTTGATATTGCCGTCAACTTGAAGTATATTGATAGGGTGATGGGTATCGATAGGTAGTTTTAATTGACTGGCCAGTCGTTGAGAAATGATGTTAACTGTACTACCAGTATCGATAAATGCGCGCGCGGGATGTGAGTTGACTTTGACGACAAGATCAATGAAATCGGGTATCGATCGCATGTTTAGTTTAAAGTCTCATGCGAGGGATGGTCACTGACCACCATATCTTGAACTGCTACTTGAGTTTTCGAATTACGGTTAATTGATGTACGAGGGGTACGAGAGTAACCAGTGCTATGGTTACGTGCGGTAGTGGTTGACATACCATACCGACGGTTCGGATTGTTCGGACAATCTTGGTGCCAATGAAATTCTACAGTTCCTAACTTTTCGCAGAATCTACACTTCGGTGCTGTACTAGTATTAGCATTCATAGTACGAGGAGTTAGCTTTGGTTTCGGTTTACCGAATCTAAATTGAGTTTTCATATTAGTTTCAATTAATTGCGCCGCTTCTAACCAACGATTGGTTGTAGCACAACTTAAAGTAATAAAGTATGGTTTCCAGTGCTGCGGGAGACCATCAGTAAGCTGCTGTACTATATCGGTAACTGTAAGTCTAGTATAGCGCAATAGTCTAAGTTTATCTCTATAGTAGTCAAGTACCGACTCATCACGTCTTAGATAACGCCTCTGCGCGTCTAGCAATGGTGTAGACGAGTCTGCGCCAAAGCGCTGTATCATAAGACTAGTTAAGAAGTTACGTGGGTTTGGTATAGTAGACCAATTATAGGTTAGGACTTCTTCACCATACCATTCGAGTGCTTGACCAGTCAAATAATACTTGAGGTTACGTATTCGGTCTTGTTCTTCCATGTTCTCGGTGTGGTCATAATATAATTTCAACCAAGTCTGAACCCGAATTGATTTATCACTACCATTGAATTTCTCAAGTTTAGGTAGCCCATGACCAGGTGTTGTGTTGAAATGCGTTTGCGTTGATGTACCAGTAGATGGCGTAGTAGTATTTGTGTTTGCATTTACCGTTCCCGTGGCGGGTGGTGTGGACAGACCATTGATGCCGTTATCGTCAGCCATTATTAAAATAATTACTTAACTATGCGTTGTTAGACGTTACTATGCGTTGCTAGGTGTTGGCTTCAAATCGATGCTCCACTCATGCGTTGAAGTGAGCAGTGAGTACACAAAATGGCGTATCAGTACAGCGTAATGAATTTAATATAAGCAGTGATACATATATGCACAGCGCTATCGGCCACTCTATTGAGCTCTATAGCTTATGATTACTTTGCTTAGTATATTGGGAGTGCAATAGAACTATGCCTCACGTCCCTTAGACTAGCGTTTTATCATTAACTATGTGTCCGATAACATACGTGAATGTATCACCGATATACCAAATGTATGACTATACTGATTTAACCAAATTATGAATAGTACGGTTACTCACTTAACTCAAACGGATCCTGCCGACTGCGCCAAATGTGACGGGTGTGGGGTTGACTTTCCCGTCATTGAAGCGAAGCTGTGATGAAAAGCCAATGTTGAGTGTTGTTGTTGATGAATGAGATCAAAATAATTAATAAATAATATTAATTAAGGCGAATGTTCATTAGGTGCCGTCACAAGTGTATATAATAACATTGAAATATAACTGAATTTTATTTAAAGTTAAAACACATTGAAATAGATAGGGAGTACATAGTGTTCCATTACAATATAATATATAGAATATAGGATAACTATATAATGAAAAGCAAGAGATGCGTGCTCTTTGATAGCAAGCGAGTAACTGATCAAGTAATGGATGCAAAGCATTATTATATAGTGATTCTACTAATCAATAAATGTACTGTCAAGGCTATGCTTCCAGAATATTCTATAGTTACGCAACTGTAGATACAGTGACGCAACCAGAGCATAGGAATGCTATGATTGACAGGTCTATGGGAGTTATAATGTAAAATGTAATATTTGGTTATAATTAATAAAGTATAATTAGTTGTGTGTTGTGTGTTACATAGTTGTGTTAAGTGTGAAGTCTAGAACACGAATATAACAAAAAGTCTACAAAAACATTAAAAATTACTAAATTATTGACTAAATAAGATTTACAACAAATAGAGAATTTCAATCAGTTATATATGGTAAGTATTGTATACTTATATAAATGGGAGCACTGTACCACTATATAGTAGTGTACACATTAATAGTACAGTGTACCCCAACATATAATGTTAAGCACTGTTGACTCTCCACTGCTATAGCGTATTGAGTCAACGCCCCTGTAATGGCGGCTTACAGTGTATACATGTGTTTGTATGTATGTGTGTGTGTATGTGAATGTATGTAAACATTTAATTGTAAGTATGTTTTTTAATTTAATTAATTAGATATATATATTTATAAATAAAAGATTTGTGTTTCATCACAAAAGTAATGACAAAATAAAAAGTAATTTATTATTGGTTTGCATATACAGTAAATAACAATATTTTAAAAAGTATAACACTACTTTATAGTTAAAAACACAAAATTTTATAAAATAATATAATTATTATTTAAAATGAGAACTATTTATCAATTTATACTCTTTAATATTAAATTAATTAATTATTTATTTATTTTCATAAACAGTATATATGTATTAATTTTGTAATTATATATTATTTTATACTAAACTTTATTTTAATATATAAATTATGTATACTTTATTATTTTACTATTAGAGTAGATGCAAAATAATGAAATTATTATTCAAAACCTTTATATACTGTATATAACTTATAATTTTTGACACATTTTCCGGCAAAATCGCAACATTTTTTACATTAAAATTTTTAAGATTCAAATGATTACAGCACTCGAATCCATCGATAGGACCGCACATCTGACCCACCGTTTTGCAGATTATAACACATTAGCTCTCATATGTCGGGTCTGATGTATTTGTTGGCAAACATCTGAGCTATTGATCCGCACAACTAGTATTTGGATCGCATTTTTCTTTTTCATTCGTACAGGTAGTTGATTGAGTAGTTCCATAGTATAGTTCAAATCAACAACAAAAATTAAAAATTTTAATTATTATTACAAGAGATTTATATTAATAAATTAATTTTATATATTATATAATAACTCATACCTAATATAAATAATATTTCTAAAAATAATTGAATATACAGTAATAACAATTTACTTTTTAGTTAACTTTGTTTAGTTAAACTGATTAAACAAAAATTATAAACTTTATTGTGTTTTAATAATAGAATTATTGTTTTGTTGACTAATTAATGATATTATTATTTTATTTGAATTATAAATATAATTTAGCTTATAATATGTGTAAATGAATTTATTATGAATTTATTAAAGTAATTTAGACATTATTTGTTGTAATACTTTATGATATACTGTAAATAATTTAAAATAAAACTTTAATAACATTAATCTTATAAATTATAATAATAATGAAATTAATAAAATATTTTATTTATTTGTTTTTTGTTTTTGTAAAATAATTTATACTGCACTACCAAGGTCAATTATAAACAAATTATATTCAAAGTTTTAAAGTAATTTCCTTAATACAGTATATAGTATATGTTATCTGATTTTTTATAGATTTAATTTAGGAGTTATTACTTTTATTTTGATTATAAAATATAATATGTATATAATATACGTATTTCATTATTTATTTTATTAATTTAATTATAGTTATAAGTATTTATTCTACATATTGTTATTGTTGATAATATATTTGATATACTAATATATTTATACATTTATTTTTAAAAAATATAATTTATATGATTTTCACTTCGAGATTTCTATTGTATTTTTATTTACAAAATTGTTTAACACTTAGACTTCAGTATAAATACTCTATAAATAAGTTATTAGTTTACACTAGAGTTTGATTTTGTTTCTAAAGTATGTTTTTTTCTTCTAGTGTATAGAAAATTAAAAATCTTTTCAATTATTTTTGTTTTAAATGTAATACTTAAAAATTAATTATAAGCTTAACGTAGTATTCATATTAAGCTAAATTTTAGAACATTTTGTTTGCAAAAAAAACTATTGAAAAAACAAACAAAAATATATGATTTCATTATAGATCTGCATTATAATTATAGTTTTATTATTATAATAACTTAGTTTTTGGTTAAGTATTTTTATAATAAATATTTAAGGATAAAAAAATAATATATTATAAAATAAAAATTATATATAACAGCCAATAATTTGAATTAAAAACTAATTCATCGTCAATAAAAATCCTTCGATTTTCAATATTATATATATTTATAATAAATGGGCAAAAATCCAGACATTGATAAAAAAAATAATTATTATTTTTTAATTATTATAATTTAATACAGAGGGATATAATTTCCTTATTAAATAAATAACTATTAAATGAGCCATTAAAACAAATATATTGATCATATAATTTTTTAATGATCATAATGTTGAAATATATATATAATCATTAAAAAATAAAGTCACAATAATATATTATTTGATGGATAGCTATAATTAAAATACTATTAAACTATTGTTATTATATACAAAGACACTGTATTTACAACAGTTGGCAGTATTTCTAATATTAATTATTTAAAATATAATAATTATTATAAAAAACTAACAAAACAATAGAAAAGACTTATTTCTTCTTTTTCTTTTTCTTCAGATACAAGTCATAAGAGTCGTGTCCGACACCAATACCACCCAATCCATAGCCAACACCACCCCATCCTAAATGATTCCAATGATCTTCACCTAAAGCCAGTCCAGAATTATAATCTTTTGATATAGTAGTCGTCACAGTTGTAATAATGGGTTCGGGAACAGGTATTTTATAATCCAATTTTCTAGTATATCCTAAACTATGCTCTTGTAATCCATATCCATACCCGGCGTATGCGTGCGGGAAATAGGATTTTGCATTTAATTTCAATTGAGTACAATGTATGAGTTTTGGTCCACAAATGCCGTATTTATCCCAAATAACTGAACCGTCGGCTTCAACATAATGATAGCCCGGTCCGTGTGACGACTTATGGTATATTGGTTGTCTATATACAGACATAACTGCATCTTTATAAACCAATGGTTCATTATATCCAACAATTGGAGCTTTTCTGGTAATAATTGGTTCGGCATAAACTTGTTTGACAACAACTGGTTCTGCAACTGGTTCGGCATATACTTGTTTGGTCACAAATGGTTCGGCATATACTTGTTTGGTCACAAATGGTTCGGCATATACTTGTTTGGTCACAAATGGTTCGGCATATACTTGTTTGGCCACAACTGGCTCGGCATACACTTGTTTGGCCACAACTGGCTCGGCATAGACTTGTTTGGTCACAAATGGTTCGGCATAAAGTTGTTTAACGGCAGCTGGTCCAGCAATAACATTTTTGTAGACAATTGGTTCAGGTATTGGTCCTTGATGATAATCAACCGGTGCTGCATATGCCTGTTTGACAGCATAAGGCTCGGCGTAGGCTTCTCTGGTAACAACTGGTGAGCTATAGGCTTGATTGATAACGACTGGTGGAGGAATAGGGTTCTTAAATATTATAGGCCCTCCTTTTGATACAATACCCGACTGTTTTACAACAACAGGCTGTCTGTATACTACAGGCGCATCTTTGACCACAACTGTAGGTTGTACTACAGCTTCTTTATACACAACGGCCGGTTCGTTATAGCCATACGGACCATAACCTTTGCCATCAATATATGGTTCAGCAATTGGAAGAACACATGATGTCATCGATATTACAGATAGTAATATCAATGAAATCTATATTACATTGTAGACCAAATTTTCAATAAATTTAATTTTCTATAATTAAATTAATTTTAATTTTATTATTTATCATTAACTATAACTTACCAAATGCTCCATTATTTTAAGCAAACAAACACTTCTCTAATATAGACTTAATAACAACTTTATTCAATAAAACAATAAATGAGTCGTTTTTCTAGTTTATGCAAAAACCTTATTTGATTTAATTCTGCTCTTTATATACTAATGACTATAAAACTATAGTTGATTTGGCCTTACATTTCACTTAATAATGATTGGATTACAATTTAATTATTATAAATATTTTTTTGTCGATACTTTTTAATAAACTGTTTTTTATTTGAGGCGCTACTAAATTATATATTATTAAAGTATTGAATCGGAATTTTAAGAATATTAAATCCAAAATAAGATATTAATTAAATATATAATTGTTTTGTTTATATTTACAAATGACATTGATTATAATATTTTCGTAAAGTTTTTAATCTACTAAACAACTATAACATATTTTATATACAGTAATTGCTGCATATTTGTGTAAAATTTTAATATTTTAGTAATCTTGAAATTTAAAATTAGTTTAATTGAAAAATATTCAAATATTTATGCTTTAAATTATTTTTTCAAAATTATATACAAATTAATAATTGCATAATTTTATTAATTAAATTATATTATAATATATTATTAATATATTTATCATGTGAATTATACAATTATTAATAAAAACACAAAGTTTTTAGTAAAAATTGAAATTAAAAGTGTGACAACTTTATTTCATAATAATTATAATTTTATAATTACAATATTAAAATTATCCGATTAAAATATACATGTGTTGGATGATATTAAATATAAAATATACTAATTTTTAAAATACAACTTTAAGGTTCAACTGATCTTAATTCAGGTTAATATAAAATAAAATATGTTTTAAATATTTTGTTACAATTTTGTTTTTATTGCATAAAACGCTTTCAAAATACTAGATATAATTTAATACTGATTTATTTTTTAAAAATTACAATTTTATATCTGTTTTATTTTTCAAATAATTAAATAAAAATGCAAGTAAATTATTATTTTACTGTTCATTTTATCTTAATTGGTAAACTATTATTTTAAATAATTTTTTTCACAATTGTAATAAAACTAAAAGACAATTATAATTTTTCCTGAATAGGACTATTAATTAATATTGATTTAAATAATGGTAATTAATAAAATAAAAAATTTAAATAAGTCAATTAAAATATATTATTTTTCAATTTATAAGCGGTTCAAGTAAAACGTTTTTCATTATATGATAACTGTGTGGTCAATAGCCTGTCCATTGACGGCATTACACAGGACTTGGACTATGACATCGCTAACCTAACATGTCTTAACCTGAACTGTGCGCCCCATTACTTGTCTTATAGAATATATTTGAAAAATGAGATCAACCCTATAATAACCATCGGTGAAGTCAAACTCGTTAAAGTTCTTTATCCGGAAGGTATTTCCCTCATTGATTCAAAATATTATATTTAATCAGATATTAAATAACTTGTGGTCATATATATAGGATGTCAGGTAACTGTAAGAATAGGTAAAGTATATCATGGATTTGAGCCGTTAGTTGGCATGTATTTTGCTGAGTCTCAGATTATCTCAAAGACAACGTTCAGTGAATGTCATGACATCGATGGCCTAAAACAGACATCCGGTCTTCAAATGTTGGCTTTTGGCAATAGTCTCAATCAGACGTGTATCTCATCGGACATAAACCCATCTACCATTCCTTACTTAATTGCTGATCGCATAGTGTTTTGCATTGGAGATCAAACTACAAAATATAATGAATCGCTAACTTATCCTAATTCTGTGGGTAGGCATATCAAATAAATTTAAAATTGCATTTATTTATAATAGCATTTATTATAAAACAGGTGATGATATATCAAGTGCAAGAAAACGTATGATATTATATCAGTAGTATTTTATGCAAATTATTACATTTAATTATTTATAGCTACAACTGTTCAAAAAAGTGAAAATCTTGATTACTGTATTTGTCTGTTTGGTGGCAGTGCTGCCATTAAAAGCATATCTCTGGATATTGAATATCAATGTTTATTAAGCTGTGATTCAGATTTTCTTAAATTACCAGAAATAGTCAACTATACGGCAACACCCAGGGATGATACTGACAGTTCTTTTAACATAACTGTTCAAATTGTATATCAAAATATGGTTAATATGTTTGGTAACTAATTAAAATTAATTTATTACCGTATTTTATAACTTTATATATATAATAACATAAATTATATTTTATAGAAAAATATTTTGTTTTTTATTAATTTTAATTATTAGGTATAAATGTTTTATTAATTATTGGTCGAGTGATTGGAAATAAACAAATGGCTAATCAATATGTAATAACTGTGACTATATTTGAACCTCAAGACCGAAATCGTTGTCTTAGCGAACCATTTCTTGACTCAATTGAAGGCACGACTAAAACAATGTTAACTGATTTGGTGACAATCAAACAATATATACGAAAACTTAAACTTATTAAAAATATTTCTGATTTATTGGTTGACTTTCCTAAAGTAACTCTATGTTGTGGTAATACTGCTTACAATTTTAGTCCCGGTCTTAGTGATGGTACGATTACATGTCCGACTTGTTGATCACTATTTATTTAATTATCTATTTATTATTTGTTTAATAAAGTTAATATAAACTAAATAATTTGTCATTTTAAAAACGTAAGTAAAATCAATAAAAATCAAAATATTAAATAAATATTACATATGTAGAGTTCGGACATCTCAAGAAAAGAGAAATATTTCCTAATAAATTCCCTCCAATTATTGTACTGTAGTTGCTTTCAGCTTATATATATTTTATATAGCTTTTGAGAGTATTAAAAAATTAAGTTTATTGAAATTTATTGAGAATTTAGTAAAATTTGGCAAAAATGTCGTTTAAAAATGCTATAAAAATTGTTTATTTCACTCTATACCCCAAGATTTTTCAGATTATTTTCCATTTTATCCCTTCCTATACCCCCATTGAGATCGAAAACCTTTCGTAGCTCTGGATAATAGTATACTTATGCTGTAATTTAAATATAATACATATAGAAAAATACAAAACATAACTTTATTTCATTAAATATACTGTATTTTATAGTAATGAATTTATAATATAAAATTTCAGTATTATCCTATTTATTCAGCTTAATATTATTGTTATAACAATACAATACATTATAATTTATAAATATTTTATTTCAATAATATAATGTTGTTTAAAATACTAATAAATAAAATGTTGATAAAGTTTTATCATTTTTATAGATATTCAAATTTAAAATTATTAAAAGTTCTTCTAATATTTTTAATTATTTTTTTAATTTTATTTATAACTTTAAATAATAATTATAAATTTGGTCATAACAAAAAAATATCAAAAAGTTATGTTCACTACATTAATAAAAGTTTTAAGATACTATTGTGGACCTCATATTTTGAGTCTAAATGGACGACTAATTATAATTATACTAAAAATTGTAAATACAATAATTGTTTGATAACAACTAACAGAGATGAGTTCAATTCAAGTGATGTCATACTATTTCATTGGAGAGATATTGATATTAGGGATCAGCCAACAGACAAATTGTTTGATCAGAAATGGGTTTTATATAATATGGAGTCACCGATGTATACTTATATGAGTTATCCAAACAGATTGTTTAACATAAGACTGTTTGAGTCAATTGATTGGACAATGACTTATAGGACCGACTCTGATATCTACATACCTTACGGCACAATCACTAAATGTCAGCAAAAGTGGAGACCAAAAGTCAAACCGTTTCGAACTAAGCGCCGGTCGATTGCTTGGGTTGTCAGCAATTGTGAGACGGCATCCAAACGCGAGTATTTTGTCGATCAAATTAAAACTTTGATGGAAGTAGACGTGTTTGGCGCGTGCGGTACATATGAATGCAGCAGAAGTGACGACTCGTGTTTTAAATATATTGAAAAACACTACAAATATTATTTAGCATTTGAAAACTCGGTAAGCATTGAATAAATGAATTTAATTTATTATATAGTAATAGCATTTATTTATAGCTCTGTAAAGATTATGTCACCGAAAAACTTTTTCATAGTCTAAACTATGATATAATTCCCGTAAGATTATTAATATTCATATAAATATTAAATTAAAATAAAATTTTTAATTTATTTTGATTAACAGGTTGTGTATGGTGTGGCCAACTATTCCTCTATATTGCCTCCCAATTCATACATTGATGCGCTTAAGTTTATTACAGTTTCACAACTCGTTGATCATCTTAATCAAGTGGCTAATGACCAAAATCTTTATGAATCTTACTTTCAATGGAAACACTATTATTGCGTTCAAAATTCAAATGATTTTTGTCAACTTTGTCAATATATCAATGAATATATATATAAATCAAGTGATAATTCAGTAAATCGTGATATTGTTAAATGGTGGGTAAATGATGCACATTGTCGTAGTATTAAATTTGCCAAATAATTAAATTATTTAATTATTTAAGAGAAAGTCGACTCATTTATATGTTTAGGAAGTTTATTGTTTTATTATTTAAAATTATGTCTTCATTAATGAATATATAAAAAACATGATAACTATAACTTATTATTTTTTACTATTTTATTGATATTATTTCATATTAATATGTGTATAATTGATAAGTTATCAATGTTAGCTTCAGTTAAATAGTTTTATTAAGCTTTAATAAGTTAAAAGTTTTGTGGATTTTTAAATTTGAAAACTTGCACTGATTTTATAAACTATTTTATAATTTTAGGTATACATACATTTTGATGAAAATTTTACATTTTTACTATTTATATAGCTATAAATATATCAACTCTTACTATAAAATTACTGTATAAATTAATATTTTACAAATAAAGGTCATATACCGGTAGTGATGTTTATAAATTGTTATTTAATTGCTCAATGACAATTATAGTGTTCATATTATACATGATAATTTAACAATTATATCACAAATAAAAGTAATATAAAATTAAATAACATAAATTTTTTTTATAGAATTGTGTTTGTGATAACAAATTTGAGTATTTGCAAAATCAAGTTAAATGACACTAATATATCACTTATATTAGAAGTGAACAATAATAAGTATATCGTAATGTTGTGGACTAAATATTTTGATATCAATTTATACTTAAGTTATAATCAATTGTTTGTATACTAACATTGCCATTACTGATAAGAAAATATCAAAAGTTGTATCACATATCGCAAAACCATATTAGCATAAAAGAGTTATGTTATATATAATGGTACCATAAAATAGTATTTATTAAATACTGTTTATTATTTTTTATATCACGTTATATAAAGAATAAATATAAACAATCCCATAATTATCCATAAGTTTTATGAATCAATTTATTGAACAATTAGTTTTACAATGAATTCAAATATTCTAACTTATTGTACAATCATTTATTGTAAATTCAATTGGAGACAAAAGTTATAATTTGTTGACTTAAATAACTAAAAGATTGTTTGTATTTTATTGAGAAAGTAATATATGTTTTGCTAATATATATAAAAGTTAAATGATTTATAAAATAAACAATTAATTAACCGCTTAATAAAACCAATAAACTAAAGGGTTAGTCACTTAGAAATCGGTGAATAATCAATATTTAGTGGATCAGTAAGTTTCCATTTTATCACATTTATTCCATTACAGTGTATACTATATTTACAGCTACGCCAGTGTTAAAATATCATATGTATCTATAAATTGTTTAAATTATGATAAATCAATCAAAAACTAAAATATATTCATTGAAATATTATTATATAATTTACAATTTTTATTAAAGTTATTAAATTAAGTAATTTCCAACAAAAATTCTCAAACAATTATGTTTCTTAGAAAAATAAATCTTGTTTTACATAAACATAGACTTTTTTGACGTTAAACAATCATATATTCATTATAATTTATAATCTACAGTACAATACATGTATATAAATATAATATTTTAATCTATACTCTGTAATAATTATTATTTGACTATTTTAAGCATAGTTTAGTAGTACAATAACACATGATTTGATAAAATTTGTCCATCATTTAATCATTTAAAGATTATTAAGATCCATATTTATATTATTGATATAAATATTTAAATTAACAATTATTATTTCTATAATTTAATACAAGCTATAATAAGATTTATAGATTATATAATTGCTAATATCTAATAAAAATTATGTACCTATCATATAATACAAAAAAAAATTGGCTACATTTCTAAAGGTTATTAACAATTCTGTTTATATAATTATTAGATATCTGTAATATCATATAAATTTAAAATACAAAATTATAGCTAATTAAATTTAATTAATAAATTATTTCTAAATATTTATGAAATTATATCAGTTAAAACATTAATAATTTACTTGCTAAATGAAAGTTTATTTTATATGATTAATAAAAATATGTATAAACAAATTAAATTGATTAGACATATTAATCAATTTGTTTGACATTCTGTATTGATTTTGTAATTTTTCAAAGTTAAGACTTTTAAAAAGTAGATATAAATATTAGTTAAAATTGTATTTATCGTTTATATAATACAGTAGTTAAGTAATAAAAAGTTTTATTTTAACATTAGTGAATTATTAAATTTAGTAATAGCTAAAAATTATTAATACAAATGATATTATTTATAAATCAAATATAAATGTAAATAATAGCAAATCTTTTTGTGAATACTGTTTTATCAATAGTATTGTTACATAAAAAATGATACATTAAAAAAATAATTATAAAATACTGATATTTTACAAGTTATTTTACTATTTTTAAAATTTATATTAAAATATTTTAATATTAGTTACAAATGAATTTAATATTAAAATCATTATCAATGTTATTGAGTCGGTGGCGGACATTCATACTGATAATCACACCAATAGTGTTATTGCCATTACTAACAACTATTGCAACATCAGAGTCAAGATGTGCTTATGTGGTGCTAATAATGGCTATATTTTGGGCCACAGAACCCATACCTTTACCCATAACAGCATTATTGCCCGTTATTTTGTTGCCATTACTGGGACTGTCTACCACTGAAGAGGCCTGTACACCATTTCTTAAAAGTAATAGTTTTATAAATACAATAATATTTATCTTTATTATATAATATAATTACATTTTATAAATAATTGGTTTGTTTTGTAAATAATAATGTGTAATAACACGTTTATATCAGAAATATATAGTATATTAAACAAATTTAGAAATTTAAATGTATTAATTCAGTCTTATTTTGATTATAAATTTTAAAAAAAATATTTTTTAATTTCTAAATGACAACAACTATCAAATTACACTGCATTTGTAAGACATGGAGTAGTTTTTATACAACAGGTATATAATATAGTCTATATTTACTATAAGCATATATGAAGACTATATCTAATAAAATGTTTATGTATTATATATATACAATTTAATCACTATATGTATGTAAATTTAATTAAACAATTTAATTAATTTAAGCAAACATTTGTATAAAAAACATTGATTTGATTGATAGGCAGTAATATGCTATTCCTGGGATGTCTGGCTCTGGCACTGGCTGTTGAAAGAAGTAATCTTCATAAAAGAATAGCATTAAAAGTATTATTAAAAGTCGGCACTCAATTTGAATGGTTATTATTAGGGTTTATGTTGACCACAATGATGCTGTCCATGTGGATCGTTAGTACGGCCACTGTAGCCATGATGTTACCCATTGCCGATGAAATATTATCCCATCTGTTTGCTAATAATAACACAGTTGAAGATAACAACAAAAAATTGATACAAAACTATGATAAAGACAATAATAAACCAACAATTTTGACAACAGTTGTCACCATTGATGAGGATTTTGATCGGATTAAGCGAAACAAGTTAAGCAAATTGTTATATTTAAGTATCGCATACTCAGCCACTATGGGCTCTGTTAGTACATTGACTGCAAATGGACCTAATATTGTGATGAAACATCTGCTCGAAGAGTAAGACATTTGACTTTAAATACTGAAATTAACCATAAAATTAATTATCAATTTTATTTATAATTATAATATTATATCAATTTTAACAGATTTAATATAACAGTATTATACTTAGAGATAGACAAATAGAAAGTTTCTAATAAATTTCCCTGAGAAAGTTTCTAGAAAATTTTTCATGGATAAATTTCTATAGAAATTTAACTGTTTTATTATTCTATGGGATCCCCATATCTATAGCTATTGTAATCTACAGTAAAAGGCAAACTTTATTAGACACCTATTGTATATAAATACCTTGATATTATGTAATTTTCGAATATACTAATAGTTCATTTTAGTGCATTTCTATACTATGGTTGTCTAATAATGTTTGCCTTTTATGGTATATAGTACACTATTATACAAAATGGGATACCTATATATAAAATAATTATAATTATTTAATAATAATCAGTTTTGTAAAATTTTATTCATCATTCTAATATACATCATATATATCATAGTTTAATATAATTAAATAAATAAATTTTTTACTTTAATTAATAATTAAAATAGTAATACTTATATTTAATTATTACTTGTAAAAAAATGTAAAAGCAAGTCAACAAATATCGAGAAAACAAAATTATCATGGKGGGATCCCATAGATAGAAATTTCTTTTAGAAATTTTCTAGAAATTTCCTTATTATTTTATAATTTCTCTATTTTCCAACAGTAATTATACTGTAATATACATTTCCAAAATATCCAATAATGCTTTTTATTCATTGATTGGTATCCTTGAAATTGTTATACAGTATCATAAAATTATGTAAACAATATGTCTATTATTATAACTTTAAAAATCAATTGATTTTAAATTATGACTTATTTTGTATTTTGTAAAACACTTGAACTCAAAACAATTAATCACTTATTATATAATAATTATTATGTGTTTCTTAGCATTTAGTTTATATTTAACTCTCTCTCTCTTTCTTTCTTTCTTTCTTTTTTTCTCTCTCTCTCTTTCTTTTTTACAGTAATTAAATCACTCACGTTTTTTTTCAATTATATAAATAATTATATATTAATAAACATTTGAAGGACAAACACAATAATTACATTATATTTATTAATGATTTGTTCAAATTATGTATAGTATTTATACCAATTATGTAAATCCAATAGTTAATGAATAGTACAATAATTAGTCTAATATCAATTTATAACACTTATGTTAAAGATTTAAAATTTTTAAAAATATCATTGGATTTTAGTTACATTAAATTAGTTTTTAAAAATTAGGATATTTGTAATTTAATAATTTCTATTATAATGTAATAATATACTATAATTAATGAAATTAATCAACAACAAAATAAATAAATAAATAAAGTAATAAAATATATTAACAGATTATACGGTAATCGTGATCCCGTAGACTATGCCAGTTGGTTCATATATGCGTCTCCCGTATCCATAATTATCACACTTATTTGTTGGCTGTCCTATAAATTGTTATTTTTAAGGTAATCAAAAAATAATTTTTATCTAATAATAATTTTAACAATAAGTTATACTAATAATACAAATGTTCAATTATTAATTATATAATTTGTTTTTTTAATTTTTAAAACAATATAAACAATTTATATAAATAAATAAACTACAATTAAAAACATATAAATTAATTTTATTATGGCTTTTGATTTGTATAATTAGAAACATATCGGTGCCTAAAGAAAAACGTCAGGCATTAAAAAATATATTATCAAAAAAGTATGAAAAATTGGGTTCAATCACGTAAGTATCTAAAAGACTTTTTTAAACATTTTATATAATTTATTTCAATTTTATCACTTTAGTGTTTTATATGTAAATTATATTTAAACAATTATGTTTACCAAATATTTTTTTAACAAATATTTTGATATTATTTCTAACATTTGTTTTATTGGTAGTTTCAAAACTATTTGTCTCAACAAAATATATATTATATATGTATAACAATTTTAAGCATAAATATAAGTAGTAATATTAATTGAACAGTTTATTGAACTAGAAGTTTCAATTTGACATTTTAATAGTCAACAAAAAGTTATGTTTATGGAAATTACTATTTTATGTTAGTAATTACAAGACATAATTGTTTTCTATTAATTTTAGTGATAATGTATAATATAAATTTTATTGTATAAATAAATAAATATATATATATATATATATATATATATATATATATATAGGTACAGTACATTCATCATTTAATATTAGCTAAGTTTAACAAATCTAATTATAAGTTATGTACTATTAATTTAGACACTCAAACAAAACAATGAAATTAATTGAATCCTTATGCGCTTTTATAAAGCGATCAGTCTATCATAACAAGAGATATTTAATTAGATAATAAGTATATAATTGTTTTTAGACAACAAAAATATAAACAAAATATGTTTTTTAGTGTATTTCTTCTCTGAAAATTATAGAAACAATAATAAATTGCTGTTTAAAATTCAAATTTCATGAGACATACATACAAAAGGTATAGCAATTAATGTCAAATATTTTATATTAAACTAAATTAAAAATAATTCATTATCATTAGTGTTGGTATATTTATATTTTTTTCAAAATTTCTAGTAAATTTCTAGAAAATATTTTCACGTGTATACCGATAAGATATTAATTTTTATTAAGAAATATCTTAGAAATTTTCATTTTATAAACACTACAGTAATAATTATACTGTATTTATATAATTACAAACACATTTGTAACAATCCATAATAAATGTTAAAATAGTGATTTAGTAATAGATTTGATAGAATTATGTGACATATTATTTGATTTAATATTATATATTTAAATATATTTATATTATTTACATTTGTTATGAATATTAAAATATTAAGAATTATAATTAGATTAAAAATGTTAGAATTTATTTTTTAAAAAGTCTCGGATAAGACAGGATTATTAAAATGTAATTATTTTTTAACTTTAAACTTTTGAATAAAGATTTTTTAAATAATCATATATATTGAGGTAAAGATGTAACATTGATCGATCATATATACAGTCAACCATACTTTCATCCAAACTTATATCAATGTAATCAATATATTATCGATGAGTCTCCAAACCATTACTATTATGAGACTTATTATGAAACTATTAATCTTATTATATACTAAATACTTACTTTAAAATCTATATATATAATGTGTTTTAACCAAATTTCATTCAATCAATTGTTAGTTACTATAGAGTTTACATTACTCTTGTTTAAACTTATTTATATTACTTATTATATTGTGTATTATATTTAATAGTTATTTATATGATTAACATTTGTGTTCAATTGAATAATTTAACTAATTTTGAGTGAATGATAGACTCCCGATCGGTCATACCGGTGCTCATACCATATGATCGATCTTAGATCTATCCCTATTGTATCTCAATATTATTAAATTTCATATTATTTGTTAATATTAAATAAATAACTTTTTTAGTATAAATATTAAATACAGATATTACATCCATAGTAATTGATATATTCAGTAATTTAAAATATATATTATATATAATTTACTTATTTATTATAGAAAAACATTTAGTTTATACTTTATATTATTATTTATAAATTTAAGTGTAATTAATCTATTTATATATAAATTTTTTGTATTAATTGTTCGATTTATATATTTTTGTTTTATTTATATAATGATTAATTATTACATAAGTATCTTATACTATATGATACCAAATGTTTTAAATTTACAGAGTATTTAAATTTTAATAAATTATTTTGTTTGAATATTTAAAAACTATTAATTAGACAATAACTAAAATTTTGCATAAAACTATTAATATATACTAGGTTATTATTATTATTATGTTAATTATACATTTTAAAAAGATGTTTATGTGAAATTATTAAAATTATTTTTTTATTAGTATAAAATAACTTTATTATTTGAATATTTAAAATATTATAATTATGTTAATTGTAATTTAATTACTTATTAGACTGTCAACAGCATATTTTATTTTATACAAAGCAATATAGCTATAAATAAATATTAAAATCATATATCACTATTTAACGACACTATCTTATTAAATGTAAATAAGATATATTTAAATTAATAGTTTTTATACAAACAATGTTATTAACATAATTTTATTTTATGTTATTAAAAATTAACATTTACTTATAATTTAAAGTATGAATATGAGAACTAAAAAACATTTCATATTAATATAATATTAATTAATAAAAGTATATATAATTTGTTGTTATAATTATATAGATTTCATGAATTTGCAGTATTGGCAGTGTTTGTGGTAATGATATTACTGTACTTCTTTCATGACCCCCAGTTCATGACCGGTTGGTCTAAACTATTGTCAATAAACAATATTAAGCCCAAACCCGCCGGAGGCGCTATATTTTGTACTTTGCTTTTATTTGTAATACCGTCCAATCCATTTGGTCCGACACCGAGTACAGCACTGTTAGATTGGAAGACAGTACAAACTAAACTGGAATGGGGTGTCATTATACTCAGAGGGGGTGGCTTTTCAATAGCCGATGCCGTAACTGTAAGAGTTAATCACTTTTTCAATTGATTATACCTTTAATATATTATTTTTTTTATCTGCTATTCAGTCGTCAGGCCTTTCACGACTCGTTGGTCAACAGCTGACACTCGTTGCTTCACTGCCTACCAGTGCTGTCACAGCTTTATTGGCAATTATAGCAAGTTTTCTGATTGAAGTCATGAGGACATCAGCGACGGCCACAATCCTCATACCAGTAGCCGCACAGTTGTCTGAAGATTTGGGAATTAATCCATTGATACTAATTATAACACTTGCCATGTCCTGTGCCTATGCATACCTATTACCAGTGGGAACTACAGCTAACACTATAGTATATTATCATGCAAAACTCAATATTTCAGATATGGTATTTATTTATTTTTTAATATTTTTAGGTAATTTTATACTATATATAAAAATAGATAGATATTTGTAAAATAATAAATTATAGTAAAATATAATATAGCTATAAATTTCGACTATAATAATAATAATTATTATTATTATTATCGGAAATGATCTAAAAATAATTATTGAAAAATATTGCAATTTATTTATCAAAAAATAGTTTAATTTTAACAAACGGAAAGAATTATCTTTATATTTTTGAGCAAAAATTACTGCATTTTTATCAACTAAACCATCATATTATGTCATATTATTATAATTTTAGATTATTATATCATAATTCCAATTATGATTTTATTAACTTTTCACACTATTCGCAACAATTGTCTATAAAGATAACATTGATTATTAATTTTATAAAATTAATAATTGACTTAAATATTATTTATGAAAGTAAAATAACATTTATCCATACTATATATTGCATAACTATTATACAATAATATATTTTTTATTTAACAGATTGTCCCAGGTCTAATAGCCAAAATCATCTCAATAGCAATGATGTTACTTAATATTTATTTATTAGGATATCCTATATTTAATTTACACGATTCGTCACCAAATTGGTTACATGAAAATTACACAATTAATATAAACAATATGATTATAAATGATATGAATGTAACTAAATTTTAATTTTATATAATAATATTTCAAACTAATAGCAAACATTTAGAAAAGATTATTGAAATATTTTTATTTTAGTAATTATATTATTATTATTATTATATTTAATTGATTAAAATTTTACAATTTATTATTTATCAGAAATAAAAATGTTATCAAATAATGTGCGAATGATTATCAATCATATTTACTATACATAATCTATGAGGAAATAAATGTAACATATGTATAGTGCATATGTTAAGCCATAGTTTTTTAAATAAAATTATAAATACTGTTATTTATAACGTTGTTTATCAAACCATTTTTATTATTGCATTTTCTAATAAAACTAATTATATACCAATAAATGTTGTATAATATATTTATTCTAGTAATCTTTACAGTATTTTTAAAATCATTATATATTTAATGTTATACAAATTATTTTTATGTGGACAACAATTGAAATTAATTTTTTATTTTCTTGTTTTATTGTTTTAGTTGTAAATTACAACTTGTAATAAAATTACATCAAAATTACTAATGATTTTTTGGTACCAAAAAATCAATGCTTATTATTAACTGCACACTATCTATAAATAAAACTTATATCTCAAAACCTACTTTATTTGGTTTATTGTTGTTTACTAAACCGTAAGTCACAAACTTATATTACAAATGAACCTTAAGTTTCGCAAATGTTTTCGCAAAAGAATTATTATCCTTTGAAATAATCATTAAGTTGTTTAATGAACGATAAAATCATTTAACAAATTTTTACAATTTTTTTTACAATTATTGATATATAAAAAAATATATTTGTGATTTTTAATAAATATAACTTTTAAATATCATATAATATTTAATTTAGCTGTTTGTTAAACAGCTAATTTGTTAAATTATTAAATTATGAAAAAACTATATTTTATAAATATGACATACAATATTTGTCTAATAAAATTTTTAAAATTAATAAAGTTTAACAAAAATAAAAGTTTTAATTATATAGTCGTGTTTTAAAGTTGTAAATAAAATTTTTGGTAATATATTAGACATTATAATTATAATCTTTTTGCATTACTATACACTGTATAATTTACTGTATATACAGTGCATCAGTTTAGACAAATGCACGTTTACTGCTAATTAATCGCCTTTTTGAGTATTCATACCAATTGTTTTTTACAATAATTTAATTTTTAAACAAAAAAAAATGCTATTTTGACAACTGGTTTGACAAATAGTTTTACAACACTTTGTGTCCAAATATTAGTTTCTTTCTGTGTCTGTCTCTCTTTCTTTCATTCTTTCTTTAACTCATTTGTTTAAAATGATTTTAAAAACATAACTATTATATAAAAATTTCCGACAATTTTCATGTCTAACACTACATTTAAATATACATTTATGTCAATAATTTTTGATCATTTAAAGAAGAAAAAATATATTAAATAAGTTTATTAAACTTTTTTTTCTATTATTTTCATTAATATTAAGTGTTGATGTGACCACTCCTCTAATTATGTCATATACTTTTTTAGTTACCTGTAAATTGATATACACTAAACAATAGTAGACTTGTATACTATACAGTAAACCATTTATAGTAGTATAGAAAATACTTTAATATTATAGTATTATATATAAAATACTATAATAACAACAATTACTTCTACGACTACTTAATTTGTTTTGTTTTATACAGTATTATACTAATTTACTATATATATATATATACTTTATAAATGTGTAAGTTATATGTGCTTATATAAAGTATATACATAGGTACATACATACATAAGTATATACATGTATATAAATAGTAATTAACATTAATAATAATACTGAACTTCATATGGTATTTACAATTATGTAAACTTTAATTGCTACATCATAATATAACATAATATTGAACACAATCTGTAATTATCTTAATTATGTAAAATAAACTTTTTTTTCTTTAACATATTATAATTAAATATATCATTTTTTTAATACTTTTCTTAAGTATAATACACTCATAGATTATTCGGAGAATCAAATATGACTTTATCTTAACTAAAAATGTATTATTTGTATCTAAAATATTATATAAAAATTATGATTTACATAAATCTAACCAATAAACTAGAAATTTGTGTTTTCAACATTTTTAATACACATGAAAACACTCGAAAGTGAATAAAAATGCAAATTTTTAGTTTTGTATTTTATAATATTATACTTTTTTTAAAATATATATATATATATATTGTGTATTTTACACTAAATAATATAGAGTCAAAGTATTTTCCTTTTAATGTCCGAAAATTATCAAAAGCTATGTTAAGTGTCTTTTTAAAGTTTTTTAATCTAAAAGTAAAATGAAAAATTATTTAACTAATGGCAGTACTTTAGCAATATTATATATTATTAAAAAATATTAATTAGCAAAAAAATATTATTTTCTATAAATATATTATACTTCAAATACCTGTCAATATATTTATGGGTTAATCCGTTTATCTAACCCCTATATATTAGTGACAAGTAATAAGTGACAGCATTGACCATACATTTTAAGGTTGATTTGCCTGTGCTTCACGACTGCAACAATTAAACTAAACAGTAGGGTTGAAAAAATACAAGGTTTTGAATTTTGACTTTGTATAATACAGTAAAATACTATAATAACAACAATTACTTCTACGACTACTTAATTTGTTTTGTTTTATACAGTATTATACTATTAAACAAATTTTAAAACTATACATTGTATACTGTATACTGTATATTATGTTAAGAATTACTTTAAAATATTTAGTAAAAATATAATTTCTAGAAAATGCATTATTATTATAATCGTTATTTCTACGTAATAATAATCAAATAATTTAAAATAAAAAATGAATTTCAATAAAAAAAAATAATATTAAATCTATATTTATTATAAAACATGATTTACTTTGCTCATATCAATGTTTTTAGTACTAAGTGGCGCTAAAATTTTTTTTAATCAAATTGGTCATGTATTGTACATTGTATTATACTGTATATTACGCTTTGTATTATACAAACACTTTGTCTCTGCCAACACTGCTAAACAGTAAATTAAAGATTTTTAAAACAAGTTTTTATAAATAAAGTATTTATGAATAAGTTTACACAAAGTTTTAAAAAATTAATTTCTACAAAATGTTTTACTTAATATAAAACTAGATTTTAGTTATATTCTCAGTATCTAAATGTTTGCTTTTAAGTTATAATCGGATTCACGCATTAATGATAACTCATGTCAAATATAAAATTAATTGTCAATGTTTTATATTAAAGTATATTCAAATCACATTTTAACAAATTAGTTTTAACAATATGTATACTAGAATTGTCAAAATTGTGATATATATATAATAGACATGTTTTAAATAATTAATCATATAATTTACGACACAAATCATATTTAGCCTAAACTTCAAAACATTTTGTTGAGTGAACACATATTATCACTATTTGATCTGATAATAAATGTTTTTTTTGCTAAACAATTAGTTATAGTATAATACATTCATAATAACACATTGAGTACATAGTACTGTATTCATAGAAATGTTGGGCTTGAAGTTCAAAGTCATAACAAAAGTTAATTATAACAAATATATATATATTTATTTATATTATAGAATATAAAAAATTTCTATTTATTAAAATACAGTATATACATAATATACATATTATAGTATTTAACAAATTAACACAACAAATACATTTAAAAAAACAAAAAATATCCCAATTTTATTTACACAAATTTCTTTTATTTATTAAGTTTAATTTATTTTAAGTTGAATTTTTCAAACACCTTTTCATAGATAATAATTATTATTTATAAAACCCACTTTTTGTTTATACATTTTTCTTGAATTTACTATTAAATAAAGAGGTCATAACTGAAAAAAGTAAAAACAACTTATAATTTTTATTTCATTACTGATCAAGTATTATATATTTTTATAATAATTTATATGGTTTTTGAATATTTTAAATAAAACATTTAATTGAAATAATTTTTAGTGTAATGCATTGTTTTAAAACTATCCCACAAATCTGCTTTATTTATAATTATATTAATATACAGTTAATAATTACAAAAACATATCAACCCTTTTGGTCATCAGTGAAATTAATTAATAGATAAATAAAAAACTTTCCTCTTATTTATATTTATATATTTAAGTGCTCTTGAAATCCTTGACATTTTTGTTGGCTTAGTTTTAGTTCATTAGCTTTGATTAAGTTAAATGATAAAAAATATATAAATTTTAATTACAATTGAATCAATGGTTAATTATTTTTAAAAATATTTTTTTACTCTATAATTATGTTTTTATAAAGTAGTAGATTTGACATAAATGTACAGCAGTTATGCAAACAATACCTATTAACTAGATTTATTAATATATGCCATATATAAAGTGTATATTATGCATATATTTTTATTATATAATATTTTATAAAGTTTTCTCGTATTTAAAAGAAATAATTAATAAAATGATTTTTTTAAATAAATAAAACTATAATTATTTTTGAATTGCATTTTTTTTACTTTTTAAACTTTTATATAAGATTAAACTAATTAGATTTTAATATAATTTTTAATATTTCATCTCTCGCACATTTAATACACTAATGAAGTAAATAAATAAATTTAAAATATTAATTATCTTTAAATAATATATATATAATATTATTAATATATACAGTATATTTAAGATATATATTAATAATAGATTAAATACTGTAAATTTACTTTTATAACTACAATAAAAACAATTCATTAACTAAATCAAACCAAATATTATTTTTTATTGACTATATCTTACATTTATGGTTATAATTTTTTATTGATATATGCTTTACAAGTAAATATTTAATAAAGTTTAAAAATCAGTGTGGAATACAAATATTTTGATAGACATAAAGTTTAGATTTTTTGTTATAAATAG